AATGTTCCACAGTTTGGGATAAGCTGGACCTGAGCTGGGCCAGGCCAGGGTCCAGAGTCCAGCACGTTTTTGGGGGGCACTGCCTGCTGGGCTGGCCAGACCAGGGTCCAGTGTCCCCACACTGTGCCAGGGGTCCAATGTCCCCACTCCAGACTCTCGAGGGTACCTCCCCCTGGGCCAGGCCAGCGGGGCTGTGATGTCCCCACCCTGGAGCCTTGGGGACGTGCCACATCGCTGCCAGCAGAGCCCTCTCTGGGCCGCACTGGGGCCTGTGCCATGTGCTGGGGGTGGTGGCAGCCCTGGGGCTCCCTTGTGCCCATCCCTGTCGTGCTGGGGGAGGTGGTGGCAGTGTGGGAGCACCCTGTCCCTGTCCCTGTCCCCGTCCCTGACGTGGCTCTGTGTGCAGGAGGAGCTGAGCAGCACCAGCGTGGAGCACCTGATCATCAACCCCAACGCCGCCTACGAGAAGTTCCGGGACAAGCGCCTGGGCACCGAGGGTGTGGGTGAGCTGGGGGGCCGGGGGGGCTGGGGATGGGTCTGGGGATGGGTCTGGGGACCACCGGGGCGCTGAGCCCCCCGAGCTGTGTGGGGTCACACCGGCTCTGCCTCTTCCAGATTTCTCTGACCGCATCGGCCGGACGCGGACCACGGGTTACGAGGCTGGGGAGTATGAGATGGTGAGTGGGCAGGGGGCACCCCCTCCTCCCCACGCAGTGCTGGGGACACCCCTGCGTGCCACGGGTCCCATGGGACCCCCAGGGTCACCTGCTGCAGGCCCTGGCCGTGCCTCACAGGAGCCCTGTCCCGACCACAAAGCCCCGAGGAGTGCACTGGTCACCAAGTCCTGGATGACCCAGGGGTCCCAGGGTGGGTCTGGGGATGGACCCGGGGGTCCCAGGATAATCCTGCCTGGCTCACGTTCAGCTGGGTGTCCCCCAGGACCCCCAAACCTTTCCTGGGTACCCCCCAGGACCCCCAGACCTTTCCTGGGTACTTGTCCTGGTGCTGAGGTGTGTTTGCCCTCGCTGTCCCCTCACTGACTGTGAAGTTCTGTCACCCCAATTCCCTGGGCTGTCCTCTGGTCCCTCAGGACCCTCACAGGGTGGGCTGCAGTCCCTGTCACCCAGGGCCAGAGGGGAGAAGGTGGCTGAGGATCACCTGGCTGCTTGGCCTGCTCAGAGGGGTGACACCTGTGTCCCCTGGCCTGGTCACTGTGGCCTGTCACCCCACACCAGCCCAGCTCAGGTTTGCTCTGGGAACAGCTGGATTTGGGCAAAGATCAGGAAACCCCCACATTCCATGGGGAGCATGCCAGAACCACCCCCACAGCTTCAGAGCTCCGGGGGAGGAGGAGGAGGAGCAGCTCTGTGGGCACTGAGATGAGGAGATCCATGGGGTGGTAATGAGGAGCTTCATGTGGGTGAGGATGAGGAGTTCCATGGGTGTGAAGATGAGCTGCATGAGGATGTAGGTAGGGAGCTCTGAGGATGAAGATGAGGAGCTCTGTGAGGATGAAGATGAGCTCCAGTGCAGCCCCTCTCCCTGTGCTGCTCCTGCCCTGCCCTGCTGACCGTGGCAGGTTCCCTATAGATGTCACCTGAGCTTCTGTCACCTGAGGCTGCTCTGACCTGTCCCTGCAGGCCTCACCTGCTCCTTCTGCTTGGTGCCAGGTGCTGCCAGCACCTGTGAGCCCCCGTGAGCCCCCGTGAGACCCCCAACCCATTTCTCCCACAGCTGGGTGAGGGTCTTGGTGCCAAGGAGACGCCGCAGCAGCGATTCCAGCGGTTGCAGCACGAGGTGCAGGAGCTGCTCCGGGATGTGGAGCAGATCCAGGTGAGCTCCCACCTGTGCTGGGGCAGGGCTTTGGGGTGACATAGCAGCTGTGTGTGCAGGTGAGCCCCCCACCTGCCCCAGGGTGTGCCCCAGGGTGTGTCCCGCGGGTGACACGGCCCCTGTGTGTCCCCAGAGCTCAGTGAAGGAGTCGGGGGCCGAGGAGGAGCTCACGCCCATGGCTCTGGCCAGGCAGGTGGAGGTGCTGAAGCAGCAGCTGCTCAGCTCCCACCTGGAGAAGGTTCTGGGCCCCGGTGCCGCCGTCGACTTCGCTGATCCCGAGGGTGCCCTGGCCAAGTGAGTGGGGCACACAACCCCAGGGGGGCACAGTGGGGCTGGGACAGGGCCCTGCCCGGCTTGTCCCCTTCCTGCTGTGTCCCTGTGCCCACCGTGTCCCCTCCTGGCTGTCCCCAGGCGGCTCCTGCAGCAGCTGGAGGTGGCCAAGTGCAGCAAAGCCACACCGGGGAAGGGCCCCACACGGACCCCTGCCCCTGCCGGCGACGCCGTCACCTTCGAGCTCTACTGGAGGCCAGAGCAGGACCAGTTTGCCCAGTCTGCCAAGGTGAGTGGGGGGCTGCTGGCCCCACAGGGGCATCCTGGGGTGGGACCCAGCCCTGCTCACCCCAAACCCCACAGGTGTCAGAGCTGGAGAAGCGTCTGGCGCTGCTGGAGGCGGCCGTGAGGTGTGAGCCTGACAGCCAGGTGAGTGCCCAGGTGAGGGGCACTGCCCTGCCTCCCTCTGCCCCTTTCCACCCCTGTCCTTTATCTGTGCCCTCCTGCCCCACTGACACCATTTCCCCCCACAGAACCCACTGCTGGTGGGGCTGAAGGGCTCCAGTCTCATGGTGAGTCAGGCTTTGGGGGAGCCACATCCCCCCCTGCCCCCAGTGCTTTGGGGGGCTGCTGTCCCCCCTGCCCCCTGTGCTTTGGGGGGCTGCTGTACCCCCCTCACTGCCCCCCCTGTCCCCAGTGCTTTGGGGGGCTGCTGTACCCCCCTCACCTGCCCCCCCCTGCCCCCAGTGCTTTGGGGGGCTGCTGTACCCCCTTCACCTGCCCCCCTGCCCCCAGTGCTTTGGGGGGCTGCTGTACCCCCCTCACCTGCCCCCCCCTGCCCCCAGTGCTTTGGGGGGCTGCTGTACCCCCCTCACCTGCCCCCCTGCCCCTCCCCAGGACACGGTGCAGGTGCTGCAGGCCAAGGTGAACGTTCTGGACGTGGCTGTGCTGGACCAGGTGGAGGCTCGGCTGCAGGTGAGGGGAGCTGGGGGGCACTGCTGGAATTGGGGGGCACTGCTGAAATTGGGGGGCACTGCTGAAATTAAACAGGGAGACATTACTGGGTTTGGGGCCCTCTGCTGGATTTGGGGTTTCTTTCTCCCCCCACGCCAGAGCGTCCTGGGGAAGGTGAACGAGATCGCCAAGCACAAGGCCACGGTGCAGGACGCTGACACGCAGAGCAAGGTATGGGCTGTGGGGCCATGAGGGGATCCAAAAAAGCCCCCCAAGGCTGTGCTGACCCCCCTGACCCCCCAACTGCTGCCCCCCAGATCCACCAGCTGTACGAGACGCTGCAGAGCTGGGACGCCGTGGCCAGCGCCCTGCCCGACGTCGTGCATCGCTTGGTGACCCTGAGGGACCTGCACGAGCAAGGTGAGGGCCAGAGGGGCTGGGGGACACCAGGTGGGGGCCACCGCCCTCCCCAGCACTCAGGTGTGTCCCCCTGCAGCCACCCAGTTCGGGCAGGTGCTGGTGCACCTTGACACAACGCAGCAGGAGATCGCGGGGGCTCTCAAGGACAACACGGTGCTGTTGGCTGAGGTGGGTCCCCCTGGTCCCCCACTGCCCCACATCACCCCATCTGCCCCATCACCCCATCCCCACTGCCCCCCATCACCCCATCACCCCATCCCCACTGCCCCCCATCACCCCATCCCCACTGTCCCCATCACCCCATCACCCCATCCCCACTGCCCCCCATCACCCCGTCCGCCCCATCACCCCATCCCCACTGCCCCCCATCACCCCCTCACCCCATCCCCACTGCCCCCCATCACCCCATCCGCCCCATCACCCCATCCCCACTGCCCCCCATCACCCCCTCACCCCATCCCCACTGCCCCCCATCACCCCATCCCCACTGTCCCCATCACCCCATCACCCCATCCCCACTGTCCCCATCACCCCATCTGCCCCCTCACCCCATCCCCACTGCCCCCCATCACCCCATCCGCCCCATCACCCCTTCCCCACTGCCCCCCATCACCCCATCTGCCCCATCACCCCATCACCCCATCCCCACCTGCCCCCCCAGGTGCAGAAGACAATGAAGGACAACCTGGCCATCGTCGAGGACAACTTTGCCGACATCGATGCCCGCATCAAGCGGCTGCAGAAGTGACCAGACCCCGGGACACCCCCTGGGGGTCCCCTGAGGATGTCCCTGCGCCCCCTCCCCGCGCCCCCCTGGGCTCTGTGACCCCCCCTGCAGGTCCCAGCTGCTGCTTGTAAATACCCTGGCGCTGTCCCCACCTCTGCACCCCTCAGTCCCCACGGGGGTCCTCCGTGTCCCCCCTGCTCCATCCCCAGCTGTGGGTCTGTGGTGCCCCCCGTACCCCAATAAACAGCTCAGCCCCCCGTGTGTGTGTCGGCAGCTCGGATGGGGGCGGGAGCAGAGCCCCCCAAACTGGGGGTGGGCAGTGCTGCCACTGGGGGGACACCCCCACAAGGTGAGGGGCTGGGGGGCAGCTGGGGAGGGGTCCCAGGTGTGTCCCCCAGCCCCTCACAGGGGTCCTGCAGCCCCCCACCCCACAAGTGCCATGGGCTCCTCCGGTTCCCCAGTGCCCCCCGGTTCCCCCCGAGCCCCCCAGGTGCAGTGAAGGTGAGGGGATGGCGGGTCAGACCCCGTCCCGCCCCTCCCGTTAATCCCGGGCGAGAAACCGGCCCCGGTGCCGCCGGAGCCCCGCCCACTCCCCGGTGGCCCCGCCCACTTCCTGTGACCACGCCCATTCCCGCCAAGCCCCGCCCCTCGCCTCACGCGCCCCTGGGGGCGTGGCCAATTTCCCGCCATTGCATCATCCCCGCGTGACTTCTCCCGCGCGCCGGGCGGTGCCGCTCGTCCCGCCCCCTCCGCGCTCCCATTGGTTGGCGCCGCCCCGCCAGTCACGCTTCTCGCGCGCCCATTGGCTGCCGGGGGCGCGAGCGTTGCGTCATGGCGCCGTTAAAGCGGCGCGGCGCGGGGGGCGGGGCGCAGCGCGGGACGATGCGGACGAGGATGAACCGGGAGCAGCGAACGGAGCGGGGCCGGGGGGAACCGGGACCACCCAGAAAGGTGCGGGGAGGCCGTGGGACAGCCCGGGGACAGCCCCGAGGGGCGCGGGGAGCGCTGCGGAGCGGTCCCGCTCGGTTCCGGGAGAGGAACCGGAGCGCCCGGAGGCGCCTCCGGCGAACTCCGCACTCGGGTCACCGATCCTAAAATCCCTCCGCAGGCATCCAGGAGAAAGCGCGTCCTCGCTGACCACCACACCTGAGGCAGGTAAGGGCGCAGCCCCCGCCATGCACACGCCGCCTTCGGGTCCCGGGGCCGGCCCGGGCACCGGAGCTCCCGCCCGGTCACCGCTCACTCCCTCCGGTCCCTCCCGCAGCCCGCGCCGGGCCCAAGGTGACAATGGCGGCCGAAGGGCTGTGGGGGCCGGGCGGGCCCCCCAGCTGGGAGCTGGAGGGGTGGTACCAGGACCTGCAGGAGGTGCTGGCGGCGGAGCCCCCCGGGACCGGCCCCGCCTGGGGCGCCGAGCAGGTGAGCGCGGGGCGGGTCCCCCCTCCATCACCGGTCCCGGTCCCGGTCCCGGTCCCGGTCCCGGTTCCGGGGCTGTTCCCCCCTCCATCACCGGTCCCGGTCCCGGTTCCGGGGCTGTTCCCCCCTCCATCACCGGTCCCGGTTCCGGGGCGGGTCCCCTCCATCACCGGTCCCGGGGCTGTTCCCCCCTCCCTCACCGGTCCCGGTGCTGTTCCCCCGTCCATCACCGGTCCCGGTCCCGGGGCTGTTCCCCCCTCCCTCACCGGTTCCGGGGCGGGTCCCCTCCATCACCGGTCCCGGTTCCGGGGCGGGTCTCCTCCATCCCCGGTCCCGGTTCGCTCTCCGCAGGCGGAGCCGGGCCCGGGGGGCTGCGGGCTGGACGCGGCTCTGGCCGAGGAGCTGCTGGAGCTGCTGGGACCGGAGGCTCCGGTAGAACCCGCGACCCCCGGCGGGAGCGGCGCGGCGCCGGGCCCCGCTGAAGAGGAGGATGAGGATGATGAGGAGAAGAAGGCGCGGAGGAAGCGGCGCGGCGGCCCCGCGGCCCCGCGGCTCCGGGACGGGGAGCGGCGGGTGCGGGAGCTGACGGCGCACAACGAGCGGCTCCGCGCCGAGATCCGCCGGCTCAGCGCCGAGGTGCAGCGCACCCGCGCCGCGCTCATCGACCGCATCGTCAACCTGCGCCACGCGTAGGGACACGGAGCCGCCCCACGGCGCGGGACACGGACACGGAGCCGCCCCACGGCGCGGGACACGGACACGGAGCCGCCCCACGTGTAGGGACACGGACACGGACCCGCCCCACGGCGGGGACAAGGACTCTGCTGCCCCACGGACTGCGGGGGCAGCCTATGGACAGACGGACAGACAAGTGGAAGCAGTTTCTCCACGCACTGTACAGCTCTTTTCGTTTATTACACGCGTGTAGCCACACCCAGCACGGCCCAGTTTGGTTACTGGGGGCACTGGGGCCGTGTCCCAGGCTGGGAACTGCGGCTACTTCTTCCTCTTGCCCTTGGGGACCTCGGGGCTGCGGCCCTCGGCCAGCGCCAGCTGCTGCTTCAGCTCCAGCAGTTTGGCCACCTGAGTGTCCACCTGGGCCTTCTCCACCTGGGCAGCCTTCAGCTGCCTCACCAGGTTGCCCTGGAGGGGGGGAGGAGGGATTTGAGGGGGTGTAATGAGGATTTTGGGGTGCTTTAAAGGCGTGACAGTGTGTATGCCACGCCCTGTGCTGCCCTCACCTGCTTGGCCACCTGCTCCGTCAGCTCCTGGATCAGTTTGGGGTCACCTGGAGCTGCAGGAGTGTGGGGGGCTGAGGCTGGGGGCGGCTGTTTGGCCTGTAAGGGGAAGAGATGGGGGTAAGACCCCTCACTCCTGTTCCAGGCAGGTGCAGCACACCTGGGGCAGCACCTGGAGTTACCTGGGGCTCTACAGCAACACCTTTGGAGTGGGAATGGGGAGGGGAAGGACACAGAGGGTGGGGGACACCTGAGCCCCCACTCACCTGCCCACCCCCAAAGCGCTGGCGCAGAGCTTCCACCTGCTCAGGCTCCAGCTTCTGGAACAGGGGGCTCACCTGCACCAGCGGGGACAGAGGGGTCACACCTGTGGGGTGGCACCTGCGGGTCCCACCCGGGCTCGGGCTGCCTCCCTACCGTGCCAACGCGGTGCCCGGCGGGCAGGGTGCAGGTGAGGCCGGGCCCGAGGCCGCAGCGCTCCGGGGGGATGCGGAGCTGGGCCTGGATGGCTTCGCTGACCCCGGGCACGAAGGGCTGGAGCAGCGCGGCCAGAGCGGCCGCCACGTTCACCGCCACGCCGGTCACCGTCCCTGCGCGCTGCCTGCGGCGTGCGGGGACAGCTCGGTGACGCTTCTGTCCCCTCCCTGCCTGGTGACACCTCTGTGACCCCTCCCTGCTCAGTGACACCTCAGTGCCCCCTGTGACCCTTGTGTCCCACCTCACCATCAGGGATGTCCCCCTGGCACCTTTCAGTGTCCCCCGAGCTCCTGGGACCCCCACTCTGATTTCTGGGACCCCCACCATGACCCCTGGGACCCCACCATGACCCCTGGGACCCCACCATGACCCCTGGGACCCCCACCATGACCCCTGTGCCCCCCACTGTGACCCCTGGGACCCCCACCACGACCCCTGGTACCCCCACCACGACCCCTGTGCCCCCACTCTGATCCCTGGAACCCCACTATGACCCCTGGGACCCCCACTCTGATTTCTGGGACCCCACCATGACCCCTGAGCCCCCCCCTGTGACTCCTGAGACCCCACTCCGACCGCTGGGACCCCCACTCTAATCCCTGGGACCCCACCATGATGTCTGCAACCCCCATCATGACCCCTGGGACCCCCACTCTGACCCCTGGGACCCCCACTCTGACCCCTGGGACCCCCACCATGACCCCTGGGACCCCCACTCTGATTTCTGGGACCCCACTCTGACCCCTGGAACCCTCACTCTGACCCTTGGGACCCCCACCATGACCCCTGGGACCCCCACTCTGACCCCTGTGCCCCCACCATGACCCCTGAGCCCCCCACTGTGACTCCTGAGACCCCCAGCATGACCCCTGTGCCCCCCACTCTGACCCTTGGGACCCCACTCTGACCTTCGGGACCCCCACCATGACCCCTGGAGCCCCCACCATGACCCCTGGGACCCCACTCTGACCCTTGGGACCCCCACTCTGACCCCTGTGCCCCCACTCTGACCACTGGGACCCCCACTCTGACCCCTGGGACCCCCACCATGACCCCTGGGACCCCCACCATGACCCCTGGGACCCACACCATGACCCCTGGGACCCCCACTCTGACCCTTGGGACCCCCACTCTGACCCCTGGGACCCCCACCACGACCCCTGGGACCCACACCATGACCCCTGGGACCCCCACTCTGACCCTTGGGACCCCACTCTGACCCTTGGGACCCCCACCATGACCCCTGGGACCCCCACTGTGACCCCTGAGACCCCACTCTGACCCCTGTGCCCCCTACTCTGACCCCTGGTACCCCACTCTGACCCTTGGGACCCCCACCATTACCCCTGGGACCCCCACCATGACCCCTGGGACCCCCACCATGACCCCTGGGACCCCCACCATGACCCCTGGGACCCCCACTCTGACCCCTGGGACCCCACTCTGACCCCTGGGACCCCACTCTGACCCCTGGGACCCCCACCATGACCCCTGGGACCCCCACCATGACCCCCATGTCCCCCACCATGACCCCTGGGACCCCCACCACGACCCCTGGGACCCCCACTCTGACCCCTGGGACCCCCACCACGACCCCTGTGCCCCCTCCAGTGCCCCCCACCCCCACCTGTGCCCCACCCATCCCTACCTGTCCCCCTGGTCGCCCTTGATGCGCTTCCAGGGCTCGTTCACCTGGATGTACTGGTTGCCGTGGCGGGAGATGCTGAGCACACACCTGAGCGCGTCGCGGAGGCTGGGGGGGCACAGGTGGGGCTGAGCACCTGTGGGGGGCAGGTGCAGCCCCTCCCCAGGCTCTGGGACCCCCGGGACCCACTGGACTCTCTCCATCAGCTGGTGGTACTGGCGCATCTCCAGCGTGACCCGGGCCAGGAGCCGCCGGTCCTCGGCCGTCAGCGCCATGGCGGGAACAGCGCCCCCGAAGAACTTGCACACGAACATGCCGGCCCTGGACAGGTGTACAGGTGTAATCACAGCCCTGGGACAGGTGTGAGCACAGCCCTGGGACAGGTGTGAGCACAGCCCTGGGACAGGTGTGAGCACAGCCCTGGGACAGGTGTACAGGTGTGAGCACAGCCCTGGGACAGGCTGGGGACAGGTGTGAGCACCACCTGGAGACAGGTGTGGGATGGAGACAGGTGTGAGCACAGCCCTGGGACAGGTGTGGGATGGGGACAGGTGTAATCACAGCCCGGGGACAGGTGTGGGATGGGGACAGGTGTAATCACAGCCCTGGGACAGGTGTACAGGTGTAATCACAGACTGGGGACAGGTGTGAGCACAGCCCTGGGACAGGTTGGGGACAGGTGTGAGCACAGCCTTGGGAACAGGCGTACAGGTGTAATCACAGGTTGGGGACAGGTGTGAGCACAGCCTTGGGACAGGTGTACAGGTGTAATCACAGCCCAGGGACAGGTTGGGGATAGGTGTGAGCACCACCTGGGGACAGGTGTGAGCAAAGCCTTGGGACAGGTGTGAGCACAGCCCAGGGACAGGTTGGGGACAGGTGTGAGCAAAGCCCTGGGACAGGTGTGAGCACAGCCCAGGGACAGCCCAGGGACAGGTGTGAGCAAAGCATTGGGACAGGTGTACAGGTGTGAGCACAGCCCTGGGACAGGCTGGGGACAGGTGTGGGATGGGGACAGGTGTGAGCACAGCTGTGCACCAGCCCTCCTTCCCCCCAAACTGTCCCCACACCTGTTGATGAAGTTGCCCAGGTTGTTGAGCAGCTCGGAGTTGTTCTTGAGCATGAGGTCGCTCCAGGAGAAGGCGCTGTCCTGGCCCTCGGGCCGCAGGTAGAGCAGGTAGAAGCGCCAGACGTCGGCCGGGATCCCGGTGTCCTTGGCCATGTCCCCGAACACGCCCACGCCGCGGCTCTTGGAGAACTTCCCGTCCTCGTAGTTCAGGTACTCTGGGGACAGGTGAGCACCGCCGTGGGGGACCCCTCACACCTGGGGACCCCCTCACCTGGGGCTCCCCACACCTGGGGCTCCCCACACCTGGGGCTCCCCACACCTGGGGCTCCCCACACCTGGGGCTCCCCACACCTGAGGACCCCTCCCACCTGGGGACCCTCCCACCTGGGGACCCCCTCACCTGGGGCTTCCCACATTTGGAGGCCATTCCCACCTGGGGCTCCCAAAACCTGGGAACCCCTCCTACCTGGGGTTCCCCACACCTGAGGACCCCTCCCAGCCAGAGCTCCCCACACCTGGGGCTCCCCACACCTGGGGTTCCCCACACCTGGGGCTCCTCACACCTGGGGCTCCCCACACCTGGGGATCCCTCCCACCTGGGGCTCCCCACACCTGGGGCTCCCCACACCTGGGGCTCCCCACACTTGGGGCTCCCCACACCTGGGGCTCACCCACACCTGAGGCTCCCCCACACCTGGGGCTCCCCACACCTGAGGGTTCCCCACACCTGGGGCTCCCCACACCTGGGGCTCCCCACACCTGAGGCTCCCCACACCTGGGGACCCCTCCCACTTGGAGACCCCTCCCACCTGGGGCTCCCCACACCTGGGGCTCCCCACACCTGGGGCTCCCCACACTTGGAGAACCCTCACACCTGGGGCTCCCCACACCTGGGGCTCCCCACACCTGGTGCTCCCCACACCTGGGGACCCCTCCTGGCTGGGGTTCCGCACACCTGGGGCTCCTAACACCTGAGGACCCCTCCCACCTGGGGCTCCCCACACTTGGAGACCCCTCCCACCTGGGGCTCCCCACACCTGGGGCTCCCCACACCTGGGGCTCCCCACACCTGTGGACCCCTCCCACATGGGGCTCCCCCGACTTGGAGACCCCTCCCACCTGGGGCTCCCCACACCTGGAGCTCCCCACACCTGGGGACCCTTCCTACCTGGGGCTCCCCACACCTGGGGCTCCCCCACACCTGAGGACCCCTCCCACCTGGGGCTCCCCTCACCTGAGGCTCCCCTCACTTGGAGGACCCCTCCCACCTGGGGCTCCCCACACCTGGGGCTCCCCACACCTGGGGCTCCCCACACCTGGGGCTCCCCCCACTTGGAGACCCCTCCCACATGGGGCTCCCCACACCTGGGGCTCCCCACACCTGGAGACCCCCACACCTGGAGCTCCCCACACCTGGGGATCCCCACACCTGGGGACCCCCACACCTGGGGAACCCTCCCACCTGGGGCTCCCCACCAGCGGGGGCTCGCCCATACCTGAGGACCCCTCCCCACACCTGGGGTTCCCCACACCTGGGGTTCCCCACACCTGAGGACCCCTCCCACCTGGGGACCACTCCCACCTGTGGCTCCCCACACCTGGGGCTCCCCACACCTGGGGCTCTGCACACCTGGGGCTACCCACACCTGGAGACCCCTCTCACCTGGGGACCCCCACACCTGGGGGGACCCCTCCCACCTGGGGCTCCCCACACTTGGAGACCCCCACACCTGAGGACCCCCCACACCTGGGGCTCCCCCCACCTGTGCCCGTACCTGTGGCGATGAGGTGGCTCACCAGGGTGTAGTTGTCCTCGGCGCCCAGCAGCGAGCAGGGGAACACGACGCTGTGGAAGGGGACGTTGTCCTTGGCCATGAAGTTGTAGAGCTCCACCTGGCAGGTAACAGGGATGTCAGGTGAGTGTCCCGCTCTGTCCTCACCTGCACCTTCACCTGGCTGCTCCCACCTGCTGGGGGTTCTTCCACCACCGCTCCCACTGCTCCGTGTAGGTGGCCGTGATGGACAGGTACCCGATGGGAGCGTCGAACCACACGTAGAACACCTGGGAGACAGCGACACCTGAGCAGGTAAACCCAACTGGGAGCACCTGGGGGCGGGGGGGACGCACCCACCTTGTCCCGGAAGCCGTCGAGGGGCACGGGGGTGCCCCAGGTGAGGTCGCGGGTGATGCAGCGCGGCTTGAGCCCGTCGCGCAGCCAGGTGCGCGTGATGTGCCGCGCGTTGGCCGTCCAGGTGTCCCAGGTGCGCTCCAGCCACGCCTGCAGCCGCCCCTCCAGCTGTGGGACACGCAGGTGGGACACCTGAGCTACACCTGTGGGTCACCATCCCCACCTGGCTGCCCTCCCAGGGGTGCAGCTCACCTTGGGCAGGTCCAGGAAGAGGTGCTGGGTGGGCGTCACCACCGGGGTGCCGCGGCAGAGCTTGCACTGGGGGTTCTGAGGGGAAAACGGGAAAAATGGGGGGTCCCGACGTGTGGGGAGGGGGATTGGGGGTCCTACAGGTGGGTGAGGGGAGGGGAGGAAAGGGGAGGGGGATCAGGGGGTCCCACAGGTGGGCGAGGGGAGGAAAGGGGAGGGGAAGGCTCAGGGGGAGGGGAGCGGGGGTCCCACAGGTGAGGGAGGGGAGGGGAGGAAGGGTGAGAGGATTGGGGGGTCCCATAGGTGGGCGAGGGGAGGGGAAGGCTCAGGGGGAGGGGAGGAAAGGGGAGGGGAAGGCTCAGGGGGAGGGGAATGGGGGTCCCACAGGTGGGTGAGGGGAGGGGAAGGCTCAGGGGGAGGGGAGGAAAGGGGAGGGGAAGGCTCAGGGGGAGGGGAGGAAAGGGGAGGGGAAGGCTCAGGGGGAGGGGAGTGGGGGTCCCACAGGTGGGTGAGGGGAGGGGAGGGGAAGGCTCAGGGGGAGGGGAGGAAAGGGGAGGGGAAGGCTCGGGGGGAGGGGAGTGGGGGTCCCACAGGTGGGTGAGGGGAGGAAAGGGGAGGGGAAGGCTCAAGGTGAGGGGAGTGGGGGTCCCGATGTGTGGGGAGGGGGATCAGGGGTCCCACAGGTGGGTGAGGGGAGGGGAGGGGAGGAAAGGGGAGGGGATTGGGGGTCCCACAGGTGGGCGAGGGGAGGGGAAGGCTCAGGGGGAGGGGAGTGGGGGTCCCGATGTGTGGGGAGGGGGATTGGGGGTCCCACAGGTGGGCGAGGGGAGGAAGGGGGAGGGGAATGGGGGTCCCACAGGTGGGTGAGGGGAGGAAAGGGGAGGGGATCGGGGGTCCCACAGGTGGGTGAGGGGAGGAAGGGGAGGGCAGTGGGGGTCCCACAGGTGGGTGAGGGGAGGAAGGGGGAGGGCAGTGGGGGTCCCACAGGTGGGCGAGGGGAATAAGGGGGAGGGGATCGGGGGTCCCAGCCCACCCGCAGCTCCACGGCGTTGATCAGCTTCCCGCACTTGTCGCACTGGTCCCCGCGGGCCTCGGCGTAGCCGCAGGAGGGGCAGGTGCCCTCCACGAAGCGGTCGGCCAGGTAACGCCCGCAGCTCTCACACCTGAGCTGCTCCAGCGTGTCCTGCAGCAGGAAGCCGCGCGCCAGCAGCCGCTGGAAGATGTCCTGGGCGATCCTGGGCGGGGAGAGGGGTCATGTCAGCCAAAACGGGGACCACCAGTGCAGGTGGGGCTCACCTGGCCCACAGGAGCTCACCTGGCCTGCAGGGAGGGTTCACCTGGCCCATAGGAGCTCACGTGGCCCACATGGGCTCACCTGGTCTGCAGGAGCTCACCTGGCCTGCAGGGGCTCACCTGACCCACATGGGCTCACCTGGCCTGCAGGGGCTCACCTGGCCCACATGGGCTCACCTGGTCTGCAGGGAGAGGCTCACCTGGCCCGTATGGGCTCACCTGGTCTGCAGGGAGGACTCACCTGGCCCAGAGGAGCTCACCTGGCCCATAGGAGCTCACCTGGCCCAGAGGGGCTCACCTGGCCCACATGGGCTCACCTGGCCCATAGGAGCTCACCTGGCCCATAGGAGCTCACCTGGCCTGCAGGGACTCACATGGCCCAGAAAAGCTCACCTGGCCTGCAGGGAGGGGCTCACCTGGCCCAGAGAAGCTCACCTGGCCTACATGGGCTCACCTGGCCCGTGTGGGCTCACCTGGCCTGCAGGGAGGGCTCACCTGGCCCGCAGAGAGAAGCTCACCTGGCCCAGAGGAGCTCACCTGGCTCAGAGGGGCTCACCTGACCCAGAGGGACTCACCTGGCCCAGAGAAGCTCACCTGGCCCGCAGGGTCTCACCTGGCCCACAGGGGCTCACCTGGTCTGCAGGGAGGGCTCACCTGGCCCAGAGGAGCTCACCTGGCCCACAGGGGCTCACCTGGCCCACAGGAGCTCACCTGGCCCAGAGGGGCTCACCTGGCCCACATATGCTCACCTGGCCCGTATGGGCTCACCTGGCCTGCTGGAGCTCACCTGGCCCAGGGGTCTCACCTGGTCCAGAGAAGCTCACCTGGCATGCAGGGAGGGCTCACCTGGCCCATAGAAGCTCACCTGGCCTGTAGGGGCTCACCTGGTTTGCTGGGGCTCACCTGACCCAGAGAAGCTCACCTGGCCCAGAGGAGCTCACCTGGTCTGCTGGGAGAGGCTCACCTGGCCTGCAGGGAGGGCTCACCTGGACTCACCTGGCCTTCAGGGAGGGTCTCACCTGGTCCAGAGAAGCTTACCTGGCCCGCAGGGGCTCACCTGGCCCGCAGGAGCTCACCTGGCCCACATGGGCTCACCTGGTCTGCAGGGAGGAGCTCACCTGGCCTGCATGGCCCACATGGGCTCACCTGGTCTGCAGGGAGGGGCTCACCTGGCCTGCAGGAGCTCACCTGGTCTGCAGGGAGGGGCTCACCTGGCCTAGAGAAGCTCACCTGGCCCACATGGGCTCACCTGGCCTGCAGGGAGGGCTCACCTGGCCTGTATGGGCTCACCTGGCCTGCAGGGAGGGGCTCACCTGGCCTGCAGGAGCTCACCTGGCCCAGAGGGGCTCACCTGGCCTAGAGAAGCTCACCTGGCCCACATGGGCTCACCTGGCCTGCAGGGAGGGCTCACCTGGCCTGTATGGGCTCACCTGGCCTGCAGGGAGGGGCTCACCTGGCCTGCAGGAGCTCACCTGGCCCAGAGGGGCTCACCTGGCCTGCAGGAGCTCACCTGGCCCAGAGAAGCTCACCTGGCCTAGAGAAGCTCACCTGGCCCAGAGGGGCTCACCTGGCCCAGAGAAGCTCACCTGGTCCACATGGGCTCACCTGGCCTGCAGGGAGAACTCACCTGGCCCACAGGAGCTCACCTGGCCCAGAGAAGCTCACCTGGCCCATAGAAGCTCACCTGGCCCACAGGAGCTCACCTGGCCCATAGAAGCTCACCTGGCCCACAGGAGCTTACCTGGCCTGCTGGGGCTCATGTGACTCAGAGGAGCTCACCTGGCCCAGAGGGGCTCACCTGGCCCAGAGGGGCTCACCTGGTCCACAGGGGCTCACCTGGCCTGCTGGGGCTCACCTGGCCTGCAGGGAGGGCTCACCTGGCCCACAGGGGCTCACCTGGCCCAGAGAAGCTCACCTGGCCCAGAGGAGCTCACCTGGCCCGCAGGGGCTCACCTGGCCCAGAGAATCTCACCTGGCGTGCAGGGAGGGGCTCACCTGGCCCATATGGGCTCACCTGGCCTGCAGGGAGGAGCTCACCTGGACTCACCTGGCCCAGAGGAGCTCACCTGGCCCCGAGGGGCTCACCTGGTCTGCAGGGACTCAACAGACCCGCAGGGGCTCACCTGGCCTGCAGGAAGGAGCTCACCTGGCCCACAGGGAGGGCTCACCTGGACTCACCTGGCCGCAGGGGCTCACCTGGTCTGCTGGGGCGTGGTGGTGCGGCCGAAGTGGTCGAAGGCGATGCGGAACCAGGTGTAGACGTCGGCGTGCAGCGCGTGGTAGCGGTCGCAGAGCTGCCGCGGGCTCAGCCCCTCCTGCAGCGCCCGCGTCTCCGTGGCCGTGCCGTACTCGTCCGTGCCGCACACGAACAGCGTGTTCCAGCCCCGCAGCCGGCTGTACCTGCGCGCACCTGGGCGTGGGTACCTGCACACCTGGGCGTGGGCACTGGCACACCTGGGCGTGGGTACCTGCACACCTGGGCATGGGCACCTGGCACACCTGGCTCAGCACCTGGCACACCTGGATCAGCGCCACGGGGGCACCTGGCACACCTGACCATGGGCACCTGGCACACCTGGGGCTTAGTGCCGCAGGGCACCTGGCACACCTGGCCATGGGCACCTGGCACACCTGGGGCTCAGTGCCAAGGGGCACCTAGCACACCTGGGCATGGACACCTGGCATATCTGGGGCTCAGTGCCGCGGGGGCACCTGGCACACCTCTGAGGTACCTGGCACACCTGGGCATGGCACCTGGCACACCTGGGCATGGGCACCCGGCACACCTGGCTCAGCGCCTCTGGGGCACCTGGCACACCTGGGCTCAGCACCTGGCACACCTGGCACACCTGGCCATGGGCATCTGGCACACCTGGGCATGGCACCTGGCACACCTGGCACACCTGGGAATGGGCACCTACACACCTGGGTGTGGGTACCTGGCACACCTGGGCGTGGGTACCTGGCACACCTCTGGGGTACACCTGGCACACCTGGGCATGGGCACCTGGCACACCTGTGGGGCACCCGGCACACCTTTGGGGCACACCTGGGCATGGGCACCTGGCACACCTGGGCATGGGCACATGGGACACCTCTGGGGCACCTGGCACACCTGGGCTCAGCGCCTCGGGGGCACCTGGCACACCTGAGCATGGGCAGCTAGCACAGCTACGGAGGCACCTGGCACACCTCTGGGGCACCTGGCACACCTGGCTCAGCACCACAGGGGTACCTGGCACACCTGGGCATGGGTACCTGGCACACCTGGGCTCAGCGCCTCAGGGGCACCTGGCACACCTGGCCATGGGCACCTGGCACACCTGGGCTCAGTGCTGCAGAGCCACCTGGCACACCTGGCTCAGCGCCATGGGGCACCTGGCGCACCTGGGCATGGGCACCTGGCACACCTGGGCATGGGAATCTGGCACACCTGGCTATGGGCACCTGGCACACCTGGCCATGGGCACATAGGACACCTGTGAGGCACCTGGCACACCTGGGCATGGGCACCAGCACACCTCCGGGGCACACCTGGCCATGGGCACCTGGCACACCTGGCTCAGCAGCTCAGGGGCACCCGGCACACCTGGGCATGGGCACCTGGCACACCTGGCACACCTCTGGGGTACCTGGCACACCTCCGGAGCACACCTGGCCATGGGCACCTGCACACCTGGGCATGGGCATCTGGCTCACCTGGGCTCAGCACCTCAGGACACCTGGCACACCTGGCCATGGGCACCGGCACACCTGGCCATGGGCACCTGTCACACCTGGGCAGGTGTGCAGAGAGCACAACCCCTCCCAGCTGCATCCCTGTAACACCTGTAGCACCTGTGCAGACAACCCAGCCCCACAGATGCACACCTGTCACACCTGTCACACCTGTGCAGGTGCACACACAGCCCAGCCCCTCAGATGCACACCTGTCACACCTGTGCAGGTACACACCTGTCACACCTGCACAGGTGCACACCCAGCCCAGCCCCACAGGTGCACACCTGTCACACCTGTCACACCTGTGTAGGTGCACACACAGCCCAGCGCCACAGATGCACACGTGTCACACCTGTGCAGGTGTGCACACAGCCCAGGTGCACATGTGTCACACCTGTCACACCTGTCACACCTGTCACACCTGCACAGGGGTGCACACAGCCCAGCCCCACAGATGCACACCTGTCACACCTGTCACACCTGCACAGGTACACACCTGTCACACGTGTCACACCTGCACAGGGGTGCACACAGCCCAGCCCCACACCTGTCACACCTGTCACACCTGCACAGGTGCACACAGAGCCCATTCCCACAGGTACACACCTGTCACACCTGTGACACCTGCACAGGTACACACCTGTCACACCTGTCACACCTGTGCAGGTGCACACACAGCCCCGCCCCAGCCCCAGCCCGGCCCCACAGCCTCACCTGGCGAAGGTGTCGGCGCTGAGCACGCAGCCGATGATGTTGCCCAGGTGCGGGACGTTGTTGACGTAGGGCAGCGCGCTGGTGATCAGCACGTTCCTCTCGCCCTCCACAGGTAACCTGGCGGGGTTGGGGGGGGTCAGAGCGGTGCCACCCCCCCGGGCACGCCCCCGGTGCCCACCTGGGCACTCACACAGGTGTGGCCGGCTGCCGGGGCGGCGGCAGCGCCGCGGGGCCCCGCGCCCAGAGCTCGGCGGCGGCCGCGATGTCGGCGTCGCTCAGCGCCCGCTCGGGGCTCTCCTCGTCCTGCGGGCTCTGGGGCAGGGGGGCTGTGCCCACCTGCCCCCCTGGGCACACCTGGGGCAGGTGTTTGGGGGCGGGCAGGGCCGGGGGGCGCTGGGCCAGGTGGGTTTGCAGCTCCCGCAGCGCCTCCGGCAGCAGCGCGGCCGCGGCACGGCACGGCTCCCACGCGGACACGGCGCTGAACCAGGAGCGCAGCACCTGCAGCTCACCTGGGGGCACGGGGGGGGTCAGCCTGGCACGGCCTGGCACGGCCTGGCACGGCCCCCCTGTGCCCCACCCCGGCCCGCTCTTACTGGGAACACTGGTCTCGTCCTGCAGCACCGGGAACAGGCTGCCCCACACCACCACGTCGGCCACCGAGGCGGCATCCTGGGGACACAGCGGGGACTGGGAGCACTGGGAGGGACTGGGAGTGTGTACTGGGGGCACTGGGGGCACTGGGAGTGTGTACTGGGGCACTGGGGGGGACTGGGAGTGTGAACTGGGGCACTGGGGGGCACTGGGAGTGTGAACTGGGAGCACTGATGTGTACTGGGGGCACTGGGGGGGACTGGACACATGAACTGGGGGCACTGGGGGGCACTGGGAGTGTGTACTGGGGGCAGTGGGAGGGACTGGGAGTGTGAACTGGGGGCACTGGGGGGCACTGGGAGTGTGAACTGGGGCACTGGGAGGGACTGGGAGTGTGAACTGGGGCACTGGGAGGGACTGGGAGTGTGAACTGGGGGCACTGGGAGGGACTGGGAGTGTGAACTGGGGGCACTGGGGGGCACTGGGAGTGTGAACTGGGGCACTGGGAGGGACTGGGAGTGTGAACTGGGGCACTGGGAGTGTGAACTGCGGCACTGGGAGGGACTGGGAGTGTGAACTGGGGCACTGGGAGTGTGAACTGGGGCACTGGGGGGGACTGGGAGCACTGGGGGGCACTGGGAGTGTGTACTGGGGGCACTGGGGGCACTGGGAGTGTGTACTGGGGCACTGGGAGGGACTGGGAGTGTGAACTGGGAGCACTGGGGGGCACTGGGACTGTGTACTGGGGCACTGGGGGGGACTGGGAATGTGAACTGGGGCAGTGGGGGGCACTGGGACTGTGTACTGGGGCACTGGGGGGGCATTGGGGGGCACTGGGAGTGTGAACTGGGGCACTGGGAGTGTGTACTGGGGCACTGGGAGTGTGAACTGGGGGCACTGGGAGGGACTGGGAGTGTGAACTGGGAGCACTGGGGGGCACACCTGCCACAGGGCTGCGGACACAGCTGGGGACATGCCAGGGACACGCCAGGGACACGCCAGGAACATGCCTGGCACAGGGCTTGGACAGGGCTGGGATCAGGGGCTGGGGACAGGGGCTGGGACACGCCAGGGACATGCCAGGACACGCCAGGGACATGCCAGGGACACGCCTGGCACAGGGCTGGGATCAGGGGCTGGGGACATGCCAGGGACACGCAAGGGACACGCCAGGGACACGCCAGGACACGCCAGGGACACGCCAGGACACGCCTGGCACAGGGCTGGGATAAGGGGCTGGGGACACGCCTGGGACACGCCAGGGACACGCCAGGGACACGCCTGTCCCACACTCACCCCCGCCAGGTGGGAGGTGCCGCTCCGCGCCAGGTGCTGCTCCAGGTGGGTCAGGAGGGGCCGCAGCACCCCCAGAGCATCGGGCCCCGCCCGGCCCTGCACCAGCCGCAGGTACAGCGCCGCGGCCACCGCCGGCTGGGGACAGGGACAGGGGACAGGGCGGGTCACAGAGGGGACAGGGCAGGGTCACAGTGGGGTCACAGAGTGGGGACACAGCGGGGACACAGCGGGGTCACAGCGGGGACAGGGCGGGGTCACAGAGGGGTCACAGAGGGGGGACAATGGGGGGGACAGCAGGTACAGCGCAGCGGCCACCGCCGGCTGGGGACAGGGACAGGGGACAGGGGACAGGGCGGGTCACAGAGGGGTCACAGCGGGGTCACAGAGGGGACAGGGCGGGGGGACAGAGGGGGGACAGCGGGGGGACAGGGCAGGGTCACAGAGGGGGGACAGCGGGGGGACAACGGGGGGACAGGGCAGGGTCACAGCGGGGACAGGGCAGGGACAGGGCAGGGTCACAGAGGGGACAGGGCGGGGGGACAGAGGGGACACAGCAGGGACAGAGCGGGGACAGGGCAGGGTCACAGAGGGGACAGGGCAGGTCACAGCGGGGACACAGCGGGGACACAGCAGGGGGACAACAGGGGGGACAGCAGGGGGACAGAGCAGGGTCACAGTGGGGGGACAGCGGGGACAGGGCAGGGTCACAGGGGGGACAGGGCAGGGTCACAGCGGGGGGACAGCAGGGGGACAATGGGGGGACAGAGCAGGGTCACAGCGGGGTCACAGAGGGGGGACAATGGGGGGACAGGGCAGGGTCACAGCAGGGACACAGAGGGGGGACAACAGGGGGACACAATGGGGTCACAGCAGGGGGACAGAGCAGGGTCAGAGCCGGGACACAGAGGGGACAGGGCAGGGTCACATCAGGGAACACAGCGGGGGGACAACAGGGGACACAGTGGGGTCAAATCAGGGGTCACAGCAGGGGGACACAGCGGGGTCACAGCAGGGGGACAGAGGGGGGACAACGGGGGAACACAATGGGGTCACAGTGGGGGGACAGAGCGGGGTCACAGCGGGGACACATCAGGGGGACAACGGGGGGGACAGGGCAGGGTCACAGTGGGGTCACAGCGGGGACAGGGCAGGTTACAGCGGGGACACAGAGCGGGGACAGAGCGGGGTCACACCAGGGGACACAGCTGGGGGACAATGGTAGGACAGAGCAGGGTCACAGAGGGGACACAGCGGGGACAGAGCATGGTCACAGCGGGGGGACAACGGGGACAGGGCAGGGTCACAGCGGGGACACAGCGGGGTCAAATCAGGGGGACACAGTGGGGTCATAGCAGGGGACACAGTGGGGTCATAGCAGGAGGACACAGTGGGGTCACAGCAGGGGACACAGTGGGGTCACAGCAGGGTGCCAGCGGGGTCACAGCAGGGACACAACAGGGGACACAGTGGGGTCAAATCAGGGGGACACAGTGGGGTCACAGCTGGGACACAGAGGGGGGACAACGGGGGGACAGAGCAGGGTCACATCAGGGGACACAGCGGGGGGACAACAGGGACACAGACCGGGGTCACACCAGGGGACACAGCAGGGACATAGCGGGGACACAGAGGGGGGACAGCGGGGACACAGTGGGGTCAAATCAGGGGGACACAGTGGGGTCACAGCGGGGGGACAGCGGGGTCACAGCAGGGACACAACAGGGGACACAGTGGGGTGACAGCAGGGACACAACAGGGGACACAGTGGGGTCACAGCAGGGTCACACAGTGGGGTCACAGCAGGGTGACAGCGGGGTCAACCGGCAGCACGGAGCACCTTGGGGACAGGGCAGTGTCACATTGTGGGGGACAGGGAACACCGAACCTCAGGGACACACCGGGGGTCACATCGAGGGGACAGGGAGCAGAGCCCCGGGGTCACACCGGGGGTCATACCGGGGGTCACACGGGGGTCACATCGAGGGGACAGAGAGCAGAGCCCGGGGTCACACAGGGTCACACCGGGGGGGTCACACCGGGGGGTCACACCGGGGGTCACACCGGGGGTCACACCGGGGGTCACACCGGGGGTCACTCACCTGCAGCTCCGTGGCCTCCCATTCCAACCACTGCGTGGTGAGGTCGGTGGGCTCCTCCCCACGGCACAGGTAGAAGTACCTGGGGGGCGGGAAGGGGAGCCCGGGGGGGTTCGGGGCAGGCCCGGGGGGGTTCGGGGCAGGCCCGGGGGGCTCGGGGTGCGCACGGGGGGCTCGGGGCAGGCCCGGGGGGGCTCGGGGCAGGCCCGGGGGGGGTTCGGGGCAGGCCCGGGGGGGTTCGGGGTGCGCACAGGGGGGCTCGGGGCAGGCTCGGGGCAGGCCCGGGGGGGTTCGGGGCAGGCCCGGGGGGGTTCGGGGCAGGCCCGGGGGGGTTCGGGGCAGGCCCGGGGCAGGCCCGGGGGGTTCGGGGCAGGCCCGGGGGGGTTCGGGGCAGGCCCGGGGGGGTTCGGGGCAGGCCCGGGGGGGTCGGGGCAGGCCCGGGGGGGTTCGGGGTGCGCACGGGGGGTTCGGGGCAGGCCCGGGGGGGCTCGGGGCAGGCCCGGGGGGGCTCGGGGCCGCACTCACTGGCAGATGGCGTTGGCAGAGAACAGGACGGTGCCGCTGTCCAGCTCCAGCTGCAGCTGCTGCTCCTGCCCGGGCACCGGCGGGGCGCTCGGCCGCTCTGTGAGGGGGACAGGCTGAGGCCCGGAGCGGCCCGGGAGCGGCCCGGGAGCGGCGGGGCCGGGCCGGGTTGGAGCGCCGGGCCCGGGGGGGTGTTGTCCGTGCCGGTCTCACCTGCGGGCACGCCCAGGAGCGGCGGGACGGGCGCGGGGGCGGCGGCGGCGGCCGCCAGCACCTTGAGGGCGGCGGGAGCGCCCGGCGGGACCCGGAGCCGCATGGCGGAGGGGGCGGGGCCGCGCGGGGCACGGCGGGAGGGGCGGGGCCGGGGCGGGGCCGGGGGCGGGGCGATGGCGGCTGGACACGCCCACTCGGAGCGAGGTTGTCATGGCAACGGGACAACAGCGGGACGGGCCGCCATGGCCGGGCTGGGACGGGAACCGGGACGGGACAATAATGGGAGAATAACGGGATGGGAACGGGGACGGGATAACGGGACAATAACGGGATAATAACGGGATAACGGGATGGGAACCGGGACGGGACAATAACGGGATAATAACGGGACAATAACGGGACAATAACGGGATGGGAACGGGGACGGGGACGGGATAACGGGACAATAACGGGACAATAACGGGATAACGGGATGGGAACGGGGACGGGATAACGGGAAAATAACGGGATAACGGGATAAGGAGATGGGAACGGGGACGGGGACGGGATAACGGGACAATAACGGGACAATAACGGGATAACGGGATGGGAACGGGGACGGGATAACGGTACAATAACGGGACAATAATGGGATAACGGGATGGGAACGGGGATGGGGACGGGATAACGGGACAATAACGGGACAATAACGGGACAATAACGGGACAATAACGGGACAATAACGGGACAATAACGGGACAATAATGGGACAATAACGGGATAACGGGATGGGAACGGGGATGGGATAACGGGACAATAACGGGACAATAATGGGATGGGAACGGGGATGGGACAGCAGCGGGATGGGAACGGGGACGGGATAACGGGATAACATGATTGAAACTGGGATAAGATAACGGGATAACGGAATGGGAACGGGATAACAGCGGTATGGGATAACGGGATAATGGGATACTGGGATAATGGGATAACAGGATGGGAACAGGGATGGGATAATGGGATCCATGGGACGGGATAATGGGATGGGATTTGTGATCGGAACTGGCATGGGATGGGATCCATGGGATAATGGGATAGCAGGACGGGAACTGGGATGGGATAGCAGGATAACAACGAGATGGGAACGGGATAATGGGATAAAGGGATAACAGTATGGGGGTGGGATAACAGGCTAATAGGATAATGGGATGGGAACCTGGATGGGACAACAACGGGATAACAACGGGATGGAAACTGGGATGGGATAACAGGACAGGAACTGGTGTGGGATCATGGGATAAGAGGATAACAGGATGAGAACTGGCACAGGGTAACGGGATCCATGGGATGGGATAACGGGATAATGAGATGGGATTTGGGATGGGATCCATGGGATAACGGGATAGCAGGATAATGGGATGGGAAGGATGGAAAGGATGGGTGGAAAGGATGGATGGAAAGGATGGGAAGGATGGGAAGGATGGGAAGGATGGGAATGGTGGGAATGGTGGGAATGGTGGGAATGATGGGAAAGACGGGAACGACTGAATAATGGAAGGATGGGGAAAGATGGGAAGGATGGGAACGGTGGGAAGGATGGAAAGGATGGATGGAAAGGATGGAAAGGATGGAAAGGATGGAAAGGATGGGAAGGATGGATGGAAAGGATGGAAAGGATGGATGGAAAGGATGGATGGAAAGGATGGATGGAAAGAATGGATGGAAAGAATGGATGGAAAGGATGGATGGAAAGGATGGAAGGATGGAATGATGGGAATGGTGGAAAGGATGGGAACAGCAGAATAATGGAAGGATGGGAAGGACGGAAATGATGGAAGGATGGGAACGGCGGAAATGATGGAAGGACGGGAAGGACGGAAATGATGGATGGAAAGAATGGATGGAAAGGATGGAATGATGGAAGGATGGGAAGGATGGGAATGGCGGGAACGATGGAATAATGGAAGGATGGGGATGGCGAGAAGGACGGGAAGGATGGGAACAGCGGAATAATGGAAGGATGGGAAGGATGGGAAGGATGGGAAGGACGGAAATAATGGAAGGACAGGAATGACAGAAATGATGGAAGGATGGGAAGGACAGAAATGATGGAAGGATGGGAAGGATGGGAAGGATGGGAACGGCGGGAAGGATGGGAAGGACGGAATAACGGAATAATGGAAAGGACAGAAATGATGGAAGGATGGGAAGGACAGAAATGATGGATGGAAAGGATGGATGGAAAGAATGGATGGAAAGGATGGAATGATGGAAGGATGGGAAGGACGGGAAGGATGGAATAAAGGAAGGACAGGAAGAACGGAAATGATGGAAGGATGGGAATGACAGAATAATGGAAGGATGGGAATGGTGGAAGGACGGGAACAGCGGAATAATGGAAGGACGGGAACGACGGAATAACGGAAGGATGGGAAGGACGGGAATGGTGGGAAGGACGGGAAGGATGGGAAGGACGGAAATGATGGAATGACAGAAATGATGGAAGGATGGGAACAATGGAATGATGGAAGGACGGGAATGATGGAAGGATGGGACAGGGCCCAGCAGGTCCAGAGGGGTCCCCGTGACCCCAATTCCGTTCTGGACCAAGCCCGGTCCCAGGGTCTGAAGGAACCCAAGGCTGGGATTTTACCCCAAATTTTGTGAATTTACCCCAACTTAGCAAGCCTCCCCCAAATCCTAGTGGATTTAACCCAAATTTCATTAGTTTAACCCAATTTTTGTTCTATTTAAGCCAGATTTCAGTGGTTTAACCCAAATTTTATTAATTTGCCCCCGTTTAAGGCACAACTCCCCGTCAAGTTTAACCACTTTTTATTTTTCCACTTAAATATTCTCTTTAAATACAGCATTGTCCCGGGAAACTGCGGAAAAGCAGGAAAAATGAATAATAGTGGGGAGAAGCTTTGGATTCACTTGGTGGTGTTAAATGTGGAGTTAAAATGGAAATTAAAAACCAAAAAATGAAATAAAAAATGGAATAGAAAAAAGGAAAGCGAAAGAAAAAAATAAAGGAAGTTAAAAAGTAGATAAAAAGGGAAATAAATTGAATTAAAAAAGAAGTGCAAGTAAAAATTCAATCAAGTAATAAAAAAGAAATAAAATGAAAGGAAATAAAAACAAAATGTAAAAAAAATTAAAATTAAAAGGGAAGAAAAACGGAATTAAAAATTAAAGTGATACAAAAGGGAATAAAAACCAAAAAAGGAAATCAAAATGACATTAAAAGCTCCGAAGCCGCTTTGGGCGCCCTGGGGGGGGTTTTGGGGTTTTTGGGGGGCAGTAGCACCAGCGAGGGCCAGATCCATAAAATCCAGATTGGATCAAATCCAACGGGGTGAAAGGGCCAAACCACACCGAGCCCAGTCTGGGGAAATGGGATAAATCCGGGAATTCTGGCAGAGTTTGGGTGAAATGGATAAATCCGGGAATTCTGTGGTTTGGGTGAAATGGGATAAATCCGGGAATTCCGTGGTTTGGGTGAAATGGGATAAATCCGGGAATTCCATGGATTGGGTGAAATGGGATAAATTCGGGAATTCTGGCGGGGTTTGGGTGAAATGGGATAAATCCGGGAATTCTGTGGTTTGGGTGAAATGGGATAAATCCGGGAATTCCGTGGTTTGGGTGAAATGGATAAATTTGGGAATTCTGGCGGGGTTTGGGTGAAATGGGATAAATTTGGGAATTCCGTGGTTTGGGTGAAATGGATAAATTTGGGAATTCTGGCGGGGTTTGGGTGAAATGGGATAAATTTGGGAATTCCGTGGTTTGGGTGAAATGGGATAAATTTGGGAATTCTGGCGGGGTTTGGGTGAAATGGGATAAAACCCCCCTTCTGAACCCCAAAAATAACCCCTGGAACCCCCTTAACCCCCTCTGACTCTGCCAAACATGTTGAAATCTCTTTTGAACCCCCAAAAAAACCTCTGAACACCATTCAATCCCTCCCTGAACTCCTAAAAACCCCCAAATGCCTCTCTGAACCCCCTTTTTAACCCCTTACACCCCTCCTCTGAGCCCCCCCAAACAACTTGGAACCCATTTAAGGCCCCTGAATCCCCTTTTAAACCCCCTTAAATCTTCTGAACTCACTTAAATCCCCTTTTGAGCATCTAAAAAAGCCCTTTAAACCAACTTAAACCCCACCTGAGCCCCTTTAGACTCCTCTGAACTCACCTAAAGCTTTTTAAACCCCCCTTAAACCTCTTTTCAAAAGCCTAAAAAATCCCTTTGACACCCTTAAACCCTGTTGAACTCCCTTGAATCCCCTCTTAAAGCCCCTTAAACTCCTCTGAACGCCCTTGATCTCCCAAAAAGACCCTTAAAAACCTTTATAAACCCCTTTAGATCCAGCTGAACCCCTTCTAGCCCCCTTAAACCCCCTTAAAACCCACAAAAACCCCCTCTGAACCCCAAAACACCCCACAACCCTTAAAAACCCCACTTTGAACCTCCCTGAATCCCCCAAAAAACCCTCTGAGCCCCCTTAAACCTGTCTGAATGACTAAAACCCACAAAAAAACCCCTCTTAAACCCAAAACACCCCGTAACCCCTAAAAACCCCACTTTGAACTTCCCTGAATCCCCCAAAAACCCCTCTGAGCCCCCTTAAACCTGTCTGAATGACTAAAACCCACAAAAACCCCCTCTGAACCCCAAAACACCCCATAACCCCTAAAAACCCCACTTTGAACCTCCCTGAATCCCCCAAAAACCCCTCTGAGCCCCCTTAAACCCCTTTTTAAAACTCTCCTGAACCCCTAAACCCCATAAAAACCCCTCTGAACCCTTTTCAACTCAAAAAACTCCCTCAACGCCCCCAAAACCACTAAAAATCCCACTTTGAGCCCGCTTAAACTGCCCCCCACCAGAGGACAGGTGACCCCCAGGAGCACCAGGGGACTCTCAACCCCCAAAAGTGGAGGGGGTCAGACCCCAGTGTGGGAAAACTGTGGGAAAAGCCAATGGTGAAATCAAAAATTCAGGAAAATAACGGGGTGGCAGCAGCTGGATTGGGGGATTTGGGTCCCTGCGACGCCGGGGTCTGGGAGCATCCAGGTGAGCAGGTCCTGAAGGCACAGACCAGGACAGGTGAGCAGCTCCAGGGGCTCAGATCCCACCAGGTGAGCAGCTCCAGGTGAGCAGATCCCACAGTCTGCAGGGTCCAGGTGAGCAGAATGCAGATTTGGGGCACAGACCCCACCCCACATCCCGATTTTCCCCCACTCCTGCCTCTTCTCAGGCTGGAATTGCTCTTGGTCCTGGTTGGTCTCACCTGGCTGAAGCCAAAAAAAAGAGGGAAAAGCCCCAAAAATGAGAAGTTTCATCCCAAGACAGATCCCAGAGCCACAGGAAGGTCCGGAGCACAGGTGGGTTTTCCATGAATCCCAGTCCAAGGAAGGGCTGCAGGGCCCAGGTGAGTCTGGAGAAGCTGAATCCATCCCAGTCTGACCAGTTTGATGCCAGTGGAGATGAAGGAGCACAGGTGAGCAGGAAGCACCTGAGGAGCAGCACAGGGAGTTGCAGGTGCTCCAGGAAGTTCACCAGGAACAGCAAATCCACGGGGGACACCAGGAGCCAGACACCTGAGCACACCTGAGCACACCTGAGGGATCCTGCTGGCATGGTGGGATGGATCCTGAGGGCTGGAACGGCAGGAACAGGTTCTTTGGGAAACACAGCCAGGTGAGGCTCACCTGGCATGGGCAAGGAGGCAGCTGGATGCCCAGAGCCCACCTGAGGTGGGTCAGGATCACAGGTAGGGGACAGGGACACTCCTGCACCCTCACATCCCAAATCCTGGTCCTTGGAGGGGCAGCTGCTGGAGGCACCTCCCATGAACATCTCAGGAGGTTCCTGCAGGTACCAGGATCAGTTCAGGTGATGGAGGAGCCAGCCATGAACATCTCAGGAGGTTCCTGCAGGTACCAGGATCAGTTCAGGTGATGGAGGAGCCAGTGAGGAAGTTGGTTCAACCCCCAAAATTTTCCAGGTGAGTTTGGGGACTCTTGGCTCTCTTGTGCCAGTTCCAGGTGTTTCCAAATCCATCCCAGCTGCAGGTGAGTGGGAGCATGGTCTGGATGAGGTGGGACGGGAGGCCCAGGTGAAACATTCATTAAACAAACAGGAATTAGGGAAAAAAGGGCTTTTCCCTTAAAAACAAGGAAAGTGGAGGCAGCCATGGGATCCAGGACGCTCCAGCTCAGGTGAGTCCTGGCACAGGTAATCTCTGCCAGGTGGGATGGAGAACAGGAGGGATCTGAGAGGCTGCAGCTCAGCTGAGTCCTGGCACAGGTGACCCCAACCAGGTGAGTGAAGGACTCCTGGCCCTGGGCCAGGGACACCCTCTGTCCAGAGCCACCCCCACCAATTAAATAATCAATCCATGGAATAAATAATGGAGCCAGAGGGCCTGAGGCCACTCATATGGGCAGGTGGGGGTGCTCCAGGTGCTCTGGGAGATTTTGGGGTGCTCCTCCCTTGCTCACAGCAGCAGGGACAGGGGGGCTGGGAGCTGGAGCTGGATGCTCCACGTGCCCACTGCCACCCTTGGCACCTGCCTGTGGCTCCACCTGGCAGAAGAGCCCAGGAGCATCGGCCAGGTAAGGCTGGGAGCCCACCTGGGCCGGCTGCCCCGAGGGGTAGCACAGCACGGGAGACTCCAGCGGGAACTGGGCCGGGATGAGGATGGTGGAGCCCAGCCCAGGGCACGGGGGAGGTTTCACCTGCCAGGTGTCATCCAGGTGCTCCCCCAGGACGCAGAGCCCGCCCCCTTCTCCCCCAGAACCGCTTCCAGAGTCTTCCTCAGCCTTCAGCCTCTCCAGCTCCTCGGCCGTCTGCAGGTGCAGCACCGCCCGCTCGTTCTCCGCCAGGTACTCCTGGAAGTCCTGAGTTTCGGGGGGCTGTGTGGGGGGCCAGGTGGGGGCAGGCAGGGCGGCAGCTCCCTCCTCTTCCTCCTCTTCCTCCCGCCGGTTCTCCAGCTCCAGCTTCATCAGGGTGTGCAGGAAGTGGGTGCGGACGCGCAGCGGGTTGAACTCGATCCGCCCGGCCACGTTCCCGCAGCCGTCCCGGGAGCAGCCGCACGGGAACGATGTGCGGTCCACCTGGGCACGGGGGGCACCTGTGGGACCACCCTGCAGGGCCCCCCCAGCCCCTGAACCCCACCCCAGGGGTGGCATACCCCAGCCAGGTGTGTCCTGGTGGACAGGTGGAGGATCCTGTGGGATCCCAGAGCCTGAATCCCACCCCAGAGTGACCCCAGATCCCACCTGGGCAGCAGGAATGTGCCTCTGGGGTGGGCAGAGGAGTTTACACGTTCCAGGTGTGCCCAAAACACACCTGGAGCTGTTCCTGCTCCTTCAAGGAACAAGAGCACTCCAGCACCTGTCAGACCACAAGCCCCACCTGCCTCACCTGGGACATGGGCACAGGGGGTGTACCTCGAGGCACACCTGTGCCCCCTTTGCCCATCTCACCTGGCACTGGATGCCCTCACCTGGCACACCTGGCTCCCCCCACTCCTCAAGGAGCACACAAGGAGCAGCCTGGCCCCCATCCCACCCCAAACCCCCTCCCTGGCTCACCTGGCACTGGATGCCCTCACCTGGCACTGGATGCCCTCACCTGGCACTGGGTGCCCTCACCTGGCTCCCCCCACTCCTCAAGGAGCACAGAGGAGCAGCCTGGCCCCCATCCTGACCCAAAACCCTTCCCTGCAGCTCACCTGGCACTGGATACCCTCACCTGGCTCCCCCCACTCCCCTGCCCTGAGGCTCACCTGGCACTGGGTGCCCTCACCTGGCACTGGATGCCCCCACCTGGCACTGGGTGCCCTCACCTGGCACTGGATGCCCCCACCCCACCCCAAACCCCATCCTCTGGCTCACCTGGCACTGGGTGCCCTCACCTGGCTCCCCCCACTCCCCTGCCCTGAGGCTCACCTGGCACTGGATACCCTCACCTGGCACTGGGTGCCCCCACCCCACCCCAAACCCCCTCCAGGCTCACCTGGCACTGGATGCCCTCACCTGGCACTGGGTGCCCCTGTCCCACCCCAAGCCCCCTCCCCTGGCTCACCTGGCACTGGGTGCCCTCACCTGGCTCCCCCCACTCCCCTGCCCTGAGGCTCACCTGGCACTGGGTGCCCCCACCTGGCACTGGATGCCCTCACCTGGCACTGGGTGCCCCCACCCCACCCCAAATCCCACCCTGAGGCTCACCTGGCACTGGATGCCGGCCTGGCTGCAGGCGCAGGTGCGCGGCTCGCAGGTGAGGCGGCACAGGCAGCCGCACTGCTCGCGGGACAGGCGCAGCGCCCGCAGCTCCTGCCGCTCCTCGGCGTCGATCCTGCGCACACCTGAGGCGCGCAGCAGCGCCCGGCGCCGCTTGGTGGGCAGCGGCTGCAGGTAGAAGTAATCGCCCACCTCCACCTGCCCCACGTCCAGGTCGTCGTCGGACACGTCGGCCAAGGTCAGCCCCGCCGCCTCGGCCGATGGCACCGTCCCATTCTGGGTCAGCTGGGGACAGAGGGACACGTGTGGGGACGTGGGGCACACCTGGCCAGGTGGCCTTCCCTCGGCCCTCACAGGGAAAAGAGATTTTTTTGTTGGGTTTTGTTTTGGAAATGCACTGCCAGATTCACTCCTGGAACATCCTGATCACCCCCACCACCAAACCCATCCAGGTATTTCCCCCTCAGGATTCCCCCTCCCAGCCCCAATACCTGGGGCTCCCCCAAATCCACCCCCAAGTGTTCCCCACCCAGATACTCTTTGTCACCCCAATTCCCTACAGGTATTATCCCCCACTGCTGCCCTCCAGCTATTTCCCACCTGGATTCTGCTCTCCCTCTCCAGCTATTTCCCACCTGGATTCTGCCCTCCCTGCCTCCCCAAGTATTTCCCACCTGAATTCCCTCCATCCTTGCTCTCCAGCTACTTCCCACCTGGATTCCACCCTCCCTCCCTCCCCAGGTATTTCCCACCTGGATTCTGCCCTCCCTCCCCAGGTATTCTCCACCCAGACACCCTCTATCACCCCAAATCCCCTCCAGGTATTTCCCACCTGGATTCTGCCCTTCCTCCCTCCCTCCCCAGGTATTTCCCACCTGGATTCTGCTCTCCCTCCCCAGGTATTTCCCACCTGGATTCCACCCTCCCTCCCTCTCCAGCTATTTCCCACCTGGATTCCATCCTCCCTCCCTCCCCAGGTATTTCCCACCTGGATTCCATCCTCCCTCCCTCTCCAGCTATTTCTCACCTGGATTCCACCCTCCCTCCCTTCTTCAGGTATTTCCCACCTGGATTCTGCCCTCCCTCCCTCCCCCAGGTATTTCCCACCTGGATTCTGCCCTCCCTCCCTCCCCCAGGTATTTCCCACCTGGATTCTGCTCTCCCTCTCCAGCTATTTCCCCCTGGATTCTGCCCTCTTTCCCTCCCCAGGTATTTCCCACCTGGATTCCACCATCCCTCCCTCTCCCAGGTATTTCCCACCTGGATCCCCTCTCCCCGCTCACCTCCCTCCTCCTGGCGCGCAGTTTCTCCCTGCGCAGGTGCTGCCGCAGGTGCTGCCGGTGGCTCACCTGGCGCAGGTGAGCGAACTGGCTGAGGCTGTACCTGCGGGCGCGGTGGTGCCGCGGGGCCATGCCCAGGGAGCTGCCGCCGGCGCTGGGCACGCAGGTGAAGCCCTGGCGCCGGGCAAAGTAGTAAACGGTGACCTGAGCGAAGCGCACGCGCTTCCCACCTCGGCGTGCCCGGGATCGCCGCAGGATGGATGGAGCTGCGGGCACACATCACCCCCAAAATTACACTAAATTCACCCATTTCCTCCGTGTTCCCCTCCAAAATTTAAAATTATACATTATTTCCCGTTAATTCCGCCCTCAGTATTCCCCTCTGGGTTATCTACAAACTCCCCGCATCAAAACTTCCCCAAATTCCTCTCATGTTTCCCAAAATTCAAACAAAATTCAACCCCCGTGAACTCCACAAATAATTCCCCAGCAATGCCTCAATCACGCAAAATAAATCCCAGAAATTCCCTCGATCGCCCAAAGAGTAAAAAGTTCCTCCGAATTTCCCCAAAATTAACAAAATAAATCTCGGTTGTCCCTCAAATTCTAAAAACGCAACAAAAATTTTTAAAAACACCAAAATTCACAAAGTTTTCAAAAAATTCACCAAACCCACCAAAATTAAAAATCCTAAACCCAATTAAAAACTCCCAAACCCCAAAATCACTATTTCGTAAAATTCCCCCTGAAAACCGTAAAATTCCCCCTGAAAACCGCAAAATTGGCCCCCCAAATAAAAAATCCCAAAACCCAATTAAAAACCCCCATACTCCAAAATCACTATTTTGTAAAATTCCCCCTGAAAACCGCAAAATTGGCCCCACCAAAATTAAAAATCCCCAAACCCAATTAAAAATCCCCAAACCCAATTAAAAATCCCCCAAATCACTATTTTGTAAAATTCACTCTGAAAACTGCAAAATTGCCCCCCCCAAAATTAAAAACCCCCAAAACCCAATTAAAAACCCCCAAAATCACTATTTCATAAAATTCCCCCTGAAAACCGCAAAATTGGCCCCCTCAAAATTAAAAATCCCAAAACCCAATTAAAAATCCCCAAAATCACTATTTCATAAAATTCCCCCTGAAAACCGCAAAATTGCCCCGCCAATTAAAAATCCCAAAACCCAATTAAAAATCCCCAAAATCACTATTTCGTAAAATTCCCCCTGAAAACCGCAAAATTGCCCCCCCTCAAAATTAAAAATCCCAAAACCCAATTAAAAATCCCCAAAATCACTATTTTGTGAAATTCCCCCTGAATACCGCAAAATTTGCCCCCCAAAATCCAATTAAAAACCCCCAAACCCCAAAATCACTATTTCATAAAATTCCCCCTGAAAACCGCAAAATTGCCCCCCCAAATTAAAAATCCCAAAACCCAATTAAAAATCCCCAAACCCAATTAAAAATCCCCAAACCCAATTAAAAACCCCCAAACCCCAAAATCCCTATTTCATAAAATTCCCCCTGAAAACCCCTAAATCCCCTCCCACCATCCCAAAACATTCCACAGCATTCCCCCCACATTCCCCAACTCCCCACCACGACCCAAATTCCTGCAACCCGCTAAAAAATGCGGAAGAATTCCCCAAATCCCGCCCAAATCCCGCCCAAATCCCGGTCCCGGCTCACGCCCGGCGCTGCCGGAGCTGCCGCCGCTGTCGCAGCTGTCGCCGCTGTCGCTCGTGGCGATCTCATCGTCCGAGGTGGCGCCGCTGGACGCGGCCGATCCCGATCCTGGTCCCGCATCCTCCGGTTTGCGCTTGTTCCCGGCGCTCGGGACCGCGGCCATCGGGGCTCGGCTCGCATGGAGCCCCCGGTGGGACGGGACGGGAGCGGAGAGGCTGCGGAGAGCACCGGGATGATGAGCCCCATCCCACCGGGAGCTGTGGGTTCCACCCCGGCTGCTCGAATTTCACGAGTCACGGCCGGGAGGAGATGCTCTGGATTCTCCAAGGATGCTGCCCACCCCATCCCGGAGGAATCCCCATCCCGATCCCAATCCCCATCCCCATCCCGGAGGAATCCCGATCCCAATCCCCATCCCAATCCCCATCCCGATCCCCATCCCCATCCCGGAGGAATCCCGATCCCCATCCCAATCCCCATCCCCATCCCGATCCCCATCCCAATCCCCATCCCAATCCCCATCCCAATCCCGATCCCCATCCCGGAGGAATCCCGATCCCAATCCCCATCCCCATCCCAATCCCCATCCCCATCCCGATCCCCATCCCGATCCCCATCCCGATCCCCATCCCGATCCCCATCCCGATCCCCATCCCCATCCCCATCCCGATCCCCATCCCGATCCCCATCCCGATCCCCATCCCGATCCCCATCCCGATCCCCATCCCAATCCCCATCCCCATCCCCATCCCCATCCCCATCCCCATCCCCATCCCGATCCCAATCCCGATCCCAATCCCCATCCCAATCCCCATCCCCATCCCCATCCCCATCCCAATCCCCATCCCCATCCCGGAGGAATCCCGATCCCAATCCCGATCCCAATCCCAATCCCCATCCCCGTCCCCAATCCCCATCCCGATCCCCATCCCAATCCCGATCCCAATCCCAATCCCCATCCCCGTCCCCATCCCCGTCCCAATCCCGGTCCCAATCCCGGTCCCAATCCCGGTCCCCATCCCCATCCCCATCCCCATCCCATCCCAAACCCCATCCCAAACCCCATCCCAATCCCCATCCCCATCCCAATCCCCATCCCAATCCCCATCCCCATCCCAATCCCCAGCTTTGGGATAGATTTGGGATGCGATTCACCCGAAACCAAAGGAAAAGAGCTTTTTTGTTGGGTTTTTTTTTGCCAGACTCACCCCCTGATCACCCCCCAAAATTCCCTAAAGTTCAGAAAAAGCACCGGATGCTCCAAGAATTCCCAGTCCGTCACAGATGCCAGACTGGGAATGAGCCTCCCTGGGACTTTCTTAACCCCAAAAAGCCCAAAAAATCCCAAATAACCCATGGGATTTGGGGAAATTCGCAGCTCCACGTTGGACGAGGGAATTTTTAGACCTGATTCCCATTGGGAAACTTCCAGGATGAATCTGGAAGCTCTGGAGCCCTCCGGGGGTTGGGGTTTGGGTGGGATTTGGATCCAGCCCAGGGATCTTCCCTGTCCCCTCCAGAAGGGAACGTTGGGGTTCCAAAAAATAGAACAGGAATTCCCAACCCATGCACCAGCCCGGGGTGAAATTCAGGTTTTTTAGGGTTTTTTGGAAGGAAAAGTGAGGAATTCTGGTGGTAGAGGGGACAAAAGCAGGAAGGAAGTGATTTATCAATCCCAGGAGCCTTTCCAGCTCTCTAAAATTGCTGAAAGTCCTCAAATTATTCCCTAAAACCACATTTCCACAGAAAATCAGAGCTGGAGTCTGAGCAAGAATCCTTCCTTGATGGATATGTCAGGATGGGATTCCTATTCCTCACATAAAATCCCAAATTATTCCAAATTATCCTTTCTGTGATGTAAGGAAACTCCTGGAAGAGTCAGAATGAAGGGAAAAAAAAAACCAAAACAAAACAAAAAATACAAGTAAATGAAATTATTGAATTTTCATTTTTTTTCCCCATCTTTAAATCAGAAGGATTTTGAAATGAGGAAGAAAAAATCGGTTCAAAAGGAATTGGGAATTTCAATGATTGAACTTCACCAAAAGGAGTTAAACTAATTTTTTTTAATTTTAAGATTCCCATCAAAATCCAGAGCCAAAAATGGATTCTCTGGATGGTTTTAAGGAATCAAAAGCAGAAATCCAGGATATTCCGGGGTGAGAGGAGAGCACCAATGAATCCAGGTGTTATTCCAGGCAGAAATTAGCCAAAAAATGGGATTTTGGATGACCACCAGGAAGATTTGGGCAGTCTGGACCCCTTGAATGGTCAAGTTTTCCAATGTTTTCCCCAAGGGTTTGGCTCAGTAGCTGAAATATCCGTGGATTTCCCAGGGATCTGAGTCCATCCCAGGTCACTGCTCACATTCCCAACACTCAGCTCTGGGTTTTAGGATGAAAGGTGGAAAAATTGGGTTCTTCAGGGAAATCTGGGGCACAGCTCCCACAGAGCTTCCAGCATTTCTGCAACATTTTGAGATGAGGAATGAAAAGTGGGTTCAAATGCTGAGGGAGGAGTCATGGGAACTGGGGAATTTCAAGGATTAAACCTCACCAAAAGGAGTTAAAATAAAAATACAAAAATTTTTTCCCATGTTCTGGAAACGCTTCTGGAGCAAGGAAGGGATCAGGAGAGTTTGGGATTCCTGGAACACAGGAACTGATCTGGAAAACCTCCAGGGGGACAGAAAGGTGACCCCAAAAAAACCCTTCAGGCCCTGTGTCCATCACTGGAATTTGGAGATCGAGGTGGGTCCATGAAGACCTCACTCCAGAGGTCCAGGAGGTGAAGGGGACACTGGGAGGGGGGCCAGGCTCCCCCCAAAAGTGACCCCCACCATGTGTGACCTCCCCATCATCATCATCATCATCATCATTACCCTCTTGAGGACCCCCCAGCATAACCCCTGTGCCCATCATGAGGTCCCCAAGGCCACCCACAGGTGCCAAGGCCACCCTAAGGACCTCCAGTGCCCCCCCAGAGTACACCAGGGGGGAGACCCCACCTGCCAGGATCCCCCAAAAGCCCCTCCCCAAATATCAGGGGGACCCTACAGAGCCCCCAATGCAGGGGGAGCTGTAAGGACCCCCCCACATCCTCTATAGGGGCCCTTTCCCTATAGCCACCCCCATCCCCTATAGCCCCCCATATTTCACACAGACCCCCCACAATTTATAAATCGCAGTTACAAAGACCCCCCCTCATTCCCTACACACCCCAATCCCTCACAAACCCCCCCAAATCCCTCACAAATCCCCCCCATCCCTCACAAATCCCCCCATCCCTCACAGCCCTCCCCGCCCCCCACAGGCGGGGCCGCCCCCCCACCCTCCCTCCAGCTCCCCAGGCCTGACCCTGCCGCCCTTCCCCCGCCACTCACCGGTGCCCGGGGGGGTTTTGGGGTGCCGGGGGGCGCTGGGGGAGCCCCGGGGCCGCTCCCGGGGGTACCGGGGCCGCTCCCGCCCCGCCGAGCGCGCCGACAACAATGGGGCCGCGGCCGCTGCGCCGCCGCTTTTATACCGCCCCGCGTCACGTGAAGCCCCCGCGGGGCACCATGGGAAAGCGAGTCCCCTGGGGGCGCGGGGCCGTGCTGGCGCGGGGTGTGGTGGGAAATGTAGTCCGGAAGTGCGGGAAATGGCGGGTGGGGGGGATCGAGAGGTGGATGGGGACATTGGGATGGGGACATCCAGATGGGACACAGGGATGGGGACACTGGGATGGAGCTGGGGACATGGAAATGGGGACACTGGGATGGGGACATCCATATGGGACACAGGGATGGGACACCAGGATGGGACACGGAAATGGGGACACTGGGATGAGGACATCCATATGGGACACAGGGATGGGGATATTGGGATGGGGACACTGGGATGGGACATTGGGATGGGGCTGGGGACACGGAAATGGGGTCACTGGGATGGGGACATCCAGATGGGACATTGGGATGGGGACATGGAAATGGGGACACTGGGATGGGGACATTGGGATGGGACACCAGGATGGGTCACTGGGGTTGGGACATTGGGATGGGACATTGGGATGGGGCTGGGGACACGGAAATGGGGACACTGGGATGGGGACATGGAAATGGGGACACTGGGATGGGACACAGAGATGGGACACAGGGATGGGGACATTGGGATGGGGACATTGGGATGGGGCTGGGGACATGGAAATGGGGACACTGGGATGGGGACATCCAGATGGGACATTGGGATGGGAACATCCAGATTGGACACAGGGATGGGACACGGAGACGTGACATCAGCATGAGGCTGGGGACATGGAAATGGGGACACAGGGATGGGGACACCAGGATGGGACACAGGGATGGGGACATTGGGATGGGGACATTGGGATGAGGCTGGGGACACGGAAATGGGGACACTGGGATGGGGACACCAAGATGGGACTCAGGGATGGGGACACCAAGATGGGACACAGGGATGGGGACACTGGGATGGGACATTGGGATGTGGCTGGGGACACGGAAATGGGGACACTGGGATGGGGACATCCAGATGGGACACAGGGATGGGGACATTGGGATGGGACATTGGGATGGGACATTGGGATGAGGCTGGGGACACTGGGATGGGGACATTGGGATGAGGCTGGGGACATGGAAATGGGGACACGGAAATGGGGACATCCAGATGGGGACATCCAGACGGGACACAGGGATGGGGACACTGGGATGGGACATTGGGATGGGACATTGGGATGGGACATTGGGATGTGGCTGGGGACATGGAAATGGGGACACTGACCACACCCACGGACTTCAACAACTGACCACACCCATTGACCACACCCATTGACATCACTGACCACACCCATAGGCCACGCCTACTGACCGAACCAATTGGCCACGCCCAGTGACCACACCCAGACTGACCTCACCCAAACTGACCACACCCAAATTGACCACACCCACTGACCACACCCACTGACTTCAACAACTGACCACACCCACTGACATCGCTGACCACACCCACAGGCCACGCCCACTGACCACACCCACTGATATCACTGACCACACCCACTGACCACACCCACTGACATCGCTGACCACACCCACAGGCCACGCCCACTGACCACACCCACTGATATCACTGACCACACCCACTGACCACACCCACTGACATCACTGACCACACCCACAGACCACACCCACCCCCTGCAGAACTGCAGCCCCTCCCCTCTCCAAAGCCCCTCCCCCCCTCCCCCCGCACCCCCCAACCCCCCCAGTGGGCGGGGCCTGGGCCCCTCCCCCTCCCCCCCGTTTTTGGAATAAAGAGGCGGATTTCGGGCTGGATAAAATCTCACCATCCATTGGGTAGAAAAGGGGGGGGAGGGGGGGGCAGCCCCTCCCCCATCCCCTCCCCCACCCCCTCGGGGGTCGCGGGGGGAGGGGCGGAGACTTGGCACAAAAATCCTGCGGCAGCGCGGGGGAGGGGCGGGGCGGTACAAAACCGAGTGGGGGGCTCGGGGGGGACCCGGGGGACCCCAAAACCTCCCCCCACCCCCCCCCAAAGTACAAAAGAGCTAAAAACACCGCGGGGGGGGGCGGGGGGGCTGCGGGGACCCCGAGGTGGCCCTGGGGGTGGCACTGGGTGGGGGGTGTCCCATGGGTGACCAGCGGTGGTGGCACTCGGGAGGGTGACCCTTGAGCTGGACCATGGTGGCACTGGCGGTGGTCACCCCGGGGGTGGCCCCGTGTCACCCCGGGGGTGGTCAGTGGTGGTGGCCCCCGGGTGGCCCAAAGGGTTGGTGGCCCTGGAAGTGGCCCACAGGAGGTGGCCCGATGGGGTCAGTGGCGTGGGGGTGGCCAGCTGTGGCTGGTGGCCATCCCTGGTGACCAGTGGCCATCCCTGGTCACCAATGGCCATCCCTGGTCACCAATGGCCATCCCTGGTGACCGATGGCCATCCCTGGTGACCACTGGCCATCCCTGGTGACCGATGACCATCCCTAGTCACCAGTGGCCATCTCTAGTCACCAATGGCCATCCCTGGTGACCGGTGGTCATCCCTAGTCACCGATGACCATCCCCAGTCACCGATGACCATCCCTAGTGACCAGTGGCCATCTCTAGTCACCGATGACCATCCCTAGTGACCAATGGCCATCCCTGGTCATCATTGGCCATCCCTGGTGACCGGTGACCATCCCTGGTGACCGGTGGCCATCCCTGGTGACCAGTGACCATCCCTGGTGACCAATGGCCATCCCTGGTGACCAGTGACCATCTCTAGTGACCGCTGGCCATCCCTGATGACCAGTGGCCATCCCTGTTGACCAGTGGCCATCCCTGGTGACCAGTGGCCATCCCTGGTGACCGGTGGCCATCCCTAGTCAACGATGACCATCCCTGGTGACCAATGGCCATCCCTGGTGACCGGTGACCATCCCTGGTGACCGGTGGCCATCCCTGGTGACCGGTGGCCATCCCTGGTCACCAGTGGCCATCCCAGTCACCAGTGGCCATCCCTAGTGACCAGTGGCCATCCCTAGTGACCAGTGGCCATCCCCAGTCACTGGTGGCCATCCCTAGTGACCGATGGCCATCCCTAGTGACCGATGGCCATCCCTGGTGACCAATGACCATCCCTAGTCACCAATGGCCATCTCTAGTCACCATTGGCCATCCCTGGTGACCAGTGGCCATCCCTGGTGACCAGTGGCCATCCCTGGTGACCGATGGCCATCTCTGGTGACCGATGGCCATCTCTGGTGACCAGTGGCCATCTCTAGTCCCCAATGGCCATCCCTGGTGACCGGTGACCATCCCTGGTGACCAGTGACCATCCCTAGTGGTTGGTGACCATCCCTAGTGGTTGGTGACCATCCCTAGTGACCGATGACCATCCCTGGTCACCGGTGGCCATCCCTAGTGACCAGTGGTCATCCCTAGTGACCAATGACCACCCCTAGTCACCAGTGGCCATCCCTGGTGACCGATGACCATCCCTGGTGACCAGTGGCCATCTCTAGTCACCGATGGCCATCCCTGGTGACTGGTGACCATCCCTGGTGACCGATGGCCATCCCTGGTGACCAGTGGCCATCTCTAGTCACCGATGGCCATCCCTGTTGACCCGTGGCCATCCCTGGTGGTTGGTGACCATCCCTAGTGACCAGTGGCCATCCCTAGTCACCAGTGGCCACCCCTAGTGACTGATGGCCATCCCTGTTGACCGGTGGCCATCCCAGTTGACCGATGGCCATCCCTGGTGGCCGATGGCCATCCCTAGTGACCAATGGCCATCCCTAGTGACCAGTGACCATCCCTATTCCCCAGTGGCCATCCCTAGTGACCGGTGACCATCCCTGGTGACCAGTGGCCATCCCTAGTGACCAGTGGCCATCCCTAGTCACCGGTGACCATCCCTGGTGACCGATGGCCATCCCTGGTGACCGGTGACCATCCCTGGTGACCGGTGGCCATCCCTGGTGACCGATGGCCATCCCTGGTCACCGCTGGCCATCCCTAGTGACCAATGACCATCCCTAGTCACCAGTGACCATCCCTGGTGACCAGTGACCATCCCCGGTGACCGGTGACCATCCCTGGTCACCGATGACCATCCCTGGTGACCGATGACCATCCCTGGTGACCAGTGACCATCCCTGATGACCGATGACCATCCCTAGTGACCAGTGACCATCCCAGGTGACCAATGGCCATCTCTAGTCACCGTTGGCCATCTCTAGTCACCGTTGGCCATCCCTAGTGACCAGTGGCCATCCCTGGTGACCGGTGGCCATCCCTAGTGACCGTTGGCCATCCCTGGTGACCGATGGCCATCCCTAGTGGTTGGTGACCATCCCTAGTGGTTGGTGACCATCCCTAGTGACCAGTGGCCATCCCTGTTGACCGATGGCCATCTCTAGTCACCGATGGCCATCCCTGGTGACCAGTGGCCAGGCCTAGTCATCGATGGCCATCCCTGGTGACCGGTGACTATCCCTAGTGACCAGTGGCCATCCCTAGTGGTTGGTGACCATCCCTGGTGACCGATGACCATCCCAGGTGACCACTGGCCATCTCTAGTCGCCGGCCATGCACTTGAAGCGGTTCTTGAAGAAGAAGAGGCGCTGTTTTTGGCGCAGGCTGTCGTCGCGCGCCGCCGGGTACCGGTAGCGGTTGTACTGCCGCTCTCCCTCCGAGCGCCGCCACGGCAGCGCCAGCTTGGACGCGTGGTCCACCACCACGTCCTCGCAGGAGCCCACGTGCAGCACCCCCAGCCCGTCGATGAAGAACTCTGGGGGGGCAGAGGGACACCCCAAAACGGGCTCAGAGCGGTTTTGGGGTTCCTCACCCTGAGTCTGATCTCGTGGGCTCATGGGGGGTGACCCCGGTGTCCCTCCTTATCTCTGACCCCATTGTGGGGGACCCCGGTGTCCCCCCTGATCTCTGACCTCACTGGTGTCCCCCCTTATCTCTGACCCCCTGAATTGGGGGGACCCTGCACCCCCCCTTATCTATGACCCCCCAGAACCTCCCGTGGGCTCCCCAGAACCTCTGTGGGCTCCCCGGGACCCTCCCGTGGGACCCCCAGAACCTCCCATGGGACCCCCACACCCCCCCAGAACCTCCCGTGGGACCCTCAGACCCCTCCAGGACCCTCCCCCAGACCCCCCAGAACCTCCCGTGGGACCCCCAGAACCTCCCGTGGGCTCCCCACGACCCTCCCGTGGGACCCCCAGAACAGAAACCTCCTGTGGGACCCCCAGACCCCCTCAGAACCTCCCGTGGGACCCCCAGACCCCCCCAGGACCTCTCGTGGGCTCCCCAGAACCTCCCGTGGGACACCCAGAACCCCCCAGAACCTCCCGTAGGCTCCCCAACGTCTCTCCCGTGGGACCCCCAGCCCCCCCCGTGGGCTCCCCAGAACCTCTCGTGGGACCCTCAGACCCCCCCAGAACCTCCCGTGGGACCCCCACGACTCTCCCGTGGGACCCCCACGACTCTCCCGTGGGACCCCCAGACCCCCCCAGAACCTCCCGTGGGCTCCCCAGAACCTCCCGTGGTCTCCCAGCGCCCCCGTGGGACCCCCAGACCCTCCCAGCCCCCCCCGTGGGAACCCCAGATCCCCCCAGAACCTCCCATGGGACCCCCAGAACCCCCCAGAACCTTCTGTGGGATCCCCAGACCCCCCCAGAACCTCCCGTGGGCTCCCAGAACCTCACATGGAACCCCCAGATTCCCCCGTGGGCTCTCCAGAACCTCCCGTGGGCTCCCCACGACTCTCCCGTGGGACCCCCAGACCCCCCCAGGACCTCCCGTGGGCTCCCCAGAACCTCCAGTGGGACCCTCAGACTTCCCCAGAACCTCCCGTGGGACCCCCAGAACCTCCCGTGGGACCCCCAGACCCCCCCGGACCCTCCCGTGGGATCCCCAGAACCTCCCGTGGGACCCCCAGATCCCCCCAGAACCTCCCATGGGACCCCCAGACCCCCCCAGAACCTCCCGTGGGACCCCCAGATCCCCCCAGAACCTCCCATGGGACCCCCAGACCCCCCCAGAACCTCCCGTGGGACCCCCAGACCCCCCTAGAACCTCCCGTGGGACCCCCAGAACCTCCCGTGGGACCCCCAAACCCTCCCAGAACCTCCCGTGGGACCCACAGACCCTCTCAGAACCTCCCGTGGGCTCCCACCCCTCCCGTGGGACCCCGCAGCTCCCCGCGTGGGCTCCCCAGAACCTCCCGTGGAACCCCCAGAACTCTCCCGTGGGACCCCCAGACCCACCCAGAACCTCCCGTGGGCTCCCCAGAACCTCCCGTGGGACCCCCAGAACCTCCCGTGGGCCCCCCCCGTGGGCTCCCCAGAACCTCCCGTGGGCTCCCCAGACCCCCCCAGAACCCTCTCATGGGCTCCCCAGAACTTCCCATGGGATACCCAGAACCTCCCGTGGGACCCCCAGACCCCCCAAGAACCTCCCGTGGGACCCTCAGAACCTTTTGTGGGACCCCCAGAACCTCCTGTGGAACCCCCACGACTCTCCCGTGGGCTCCCCAGAACCGCCCGTGGGACCCCCAGACCCCCCCAGGACCCTCCCGTGGGCTCCCCACGACCCTCCCGTGGGACCCCCAGAACAGAAACCTCCTGTGGGACCCCCAGACCCCCTCAGAACCTCCCGTGGGACCCCCAGACCCACCCAGGACCTCCCGTGGGCTCCCCAGAACCTCCCGTGGCACCCCCAGGACCTCCTGTGGGACCCCCAGACCCCCCAGAACCTCCCGTGGGCTCCCCAGAACCTCTCATGGGACCCTCAGACCCCCTCGGAACCTCCCATGGGACCCCCAGACCCCCCCAGAACCTCCCGTGGCCTCCCCAGAACCTCCCGTGGGACCACCAGAGCCCCCAGAACCTCCTGTGGGCTCCCAGCCCCTCCCGTGGGTTCCCGCCCCCCCCCCGTGGGCTCCCCAGACCCTCCGTGGGCTCTCCAGGACCTCCCGTGGGCTCCCCAGAACCTCCAGTGGGACCCCCAGACCCCCCCAGGACCTCCCGTGGGCTCCCCAGAACCTCCCGTGGGACCCCCAGACCCCCCCAGAACCCTCCCGTGGGACCCCCAGACCCCCCCAGAACCTCCCATGGGCTCCCCACGACTCTCCCGTGGGACCCCCCAGGACTCTCCCGTGGAACCCACAGACCCCCTCAGAACCTCCCGTGGGACCCCCAGACCCCCCCAGGACCCTCCCGTGGGCTCTCCACGACTCTCCCGTGGGCTCCCCAGACCCCCTCAGAACCTCCCGTGGGACCCCCAGACCCCCCCAGGACCTCCCGTGGGACCCCCAGAACCTCCCTTGGGACCCCCAGACCCCCCCACGACTCTCCCGTGGGCTCCCAGCCCCCCCGTGGGCTCCCCAGAACCTCCCGTGGGCTCCCCGGAACCTCTCGTGGGACCCCCAGACCCCCCCAGGACCTCTTGTGGGACCCCCAGAACCTCCCGTGGGCTCCCCAGAACCTCCCGTGGGACCCCCAGACCCCCCCAGGACCCTCCCATGGGACCCCCAGAACCTCCCGTGGGACCCCCAGACCCCCCCAGGACCCTCCCGTGGGCTCCCCAGAACCTCCCGTGGGACCCCCAGACCCCCCCAGGACCCTCCCGTGGGCTCCCCACGTCTCTCCCGTGGGCTCCCCCCCCCGGTGCCGGTGCTCACCCAGGTGCGCCACGCGGCGCAGGCGGGGGTCGAAGCCCACCTGCCGCACTTTGTCGGTGCGCGCCAGGAAGAAGTTGACGACGCCGTCGGTAACGACGCAGGCGGGGAAACCGGCGAGGCGGTGATGGAAACCGGGCCGGGTCCGGAGGCAGTCCCCGCCCGCGCCGCCGCCGCGCACCACCAGCCGCTGCCGGTACGTGGTGGTGTACCCGGTGATCTCCCGCACCGCGCCGCCCACCTGCGGGCACGGCGGGGCTGAGGGGGGACCGGGACCACCGGGGCTACCGGGGCCACCAGGACCACCGGGATAACCGGGATCACCGGGGCCACCGGGACCCACGGGGCTACCGGGATAACCGGGATCACCGGGGCCACCGGGATAACCGGGACCCACGGGATAATCGGGGCCACCGGGACCACCGGGGCTACCGGGGCCACCGGGGCCACCGGGAGCGCCGGGATAACTGGGGCCACCGGGACCGCCGGGACCACCGGGATAACCGGGATCACCGGGGCCACCGGGGCTACCGGGATAACCGGGACCCACGGGACCACCGGGACCCACGGGACCACCGGGACCCACGGGATAACCGGGATCACCGGGGCCACCGGGATCGCCCACCGGTGAGAAGGGATGGCATGGCATGGCATGGTATGGCATAGGAGCCTGCCAGCATCGCCAACCGGGCACCGGGACACCGCCCGTGGGCACCGAAACACCCCGAGCCCCCACCTGGGCACCGGGATTCTCCACGTGGAAACCAGAACCCCCCCCGAGCCCTAACCTGGGCACCGGGACACTCCCCGTGGGCACCGGGACCCTCCCGAACCCCAACCTGGGCACCACGACCCTCACGACCCTGCTGGTATCGCCCACCTGGGCACCGGGACACCCCACGTGGGCACCGGGACACCCCCCCGAGCCCCCACCTGGGCACCGGGACCCTCAGGACCCTGCCAGCATCACCAACCGGGCACCGGGACACCCCACGTGAGCACCGGGACACCCCAGCCCTGGGCACGGGGCACCGGGAGCGCCACTCCCGGACCACCGGGACCCCCCTGACCCCTGTGCCCCGTGTAGCCCCCCGTGCCCCACACCCCCGGGGTCCTCTGCAGCCCTCTGTGCCCACCTGTGCCACCCACAGCCCCCCGTGTGTCCTGCGGCCCCCCAGTGCCCACATGCAGCCCCCCGTGCCCCCAGTGCAGATCCCCGTGCCCGCAGTGCCCCCCGTGCCCCCCACAGCTCTCCGTGCCCCTCACAGCCCCCCATGCACCCCACAGCCCCCCGTGCCCCCCGTGCCCCAGTGCCCCCCTGTGCCCCCACAGCCCCCCGTGCCCCTCTGTACCCCCCGTGCCCCAATGCCCCCCGTGTCCCCTGTGTCTCTGCAGCCCCCCGTGCCCTAATGCCCCCCATGCCCCCCAATGCCCCCCGTGCCCCCCGTTCCCCCCAATGCCCCCCGTTCTCCCCTTACCCCCCTTACCCCCCTTACCCCCCATGCCCCCCGTACCCCCCTTACCCCCGTGCCCCAATGCCCCCCGTACCCCCACAGCTCTCCATGCCCCCTGTGCCCCCAGTGCCTCTGCAGCCCCCCGTACCCCCCGTTCCCCCCTTACCCCCCATGCCCCCGTTCCCCCCATGCCCTCCATGCCCCCCGTACCCTCCGTTCCCCCCATACCCCAATGCCCCCCGTACCCCCCATGCCCCCGTGCCCGCACCAGGTCCAGGCTGGTTCTCTCCAGCACATCCACGAGCTTCTCCAGCCTGGTGCGGGCCGTGAAGATGAAATCATCGTCCACCCACAGCACGTACTTGGTGGTGACCTGCGACACCGCCAGGTTCCTCCCGGCGAACCAGCCCTGGGGGGCACCGCGGACCCTCGCCCACCGCACCCATGGGTGCCCGTGGGTGCCTCCCCCGTGGTCCCGAGAGACCCCCGTGTCCCCCAGCCCCGGGTACCGGCAGCTCTTCCGCGCCTGGTGTCCCCTTCTTGGGGATGTCACAGCCCTGCCAGACCCCCGTGAGACCCCCGTGTGCCCCCCGTGCCCCCCATGAGCCCCCTGTGCCCCCCGTGCCCTACCAGACCCCCGTGCCCCCCGAGTCCTGCCAGACCCCCCGAGCCCCCCATGCCCCGCCAGTCCCCCACCCCCAGGGACCCCTTCCCCATTGTCCCCCACCCCCAGGGACCCCTGCCCCTTGTCCCCCACCCCCAGGACACCCCCCATGTCCCTTGTCTGGAGTCCTTGCCACCTCCCTGTCCCCTGTCCAAGGTCCCTGCCACCCCTGTGTCCCCTCTCCGGGTCCCTGCCACCCCTTTGTCCCTTTTCTGGGGTCTCTGCCACCTCCCTGTCCCCTCTCCGGGGTCCCTGCCACCCCCCATGTCCCTTGTCCGTGTCCCTGCCACCCCCATGTCCCTTGTCTGGAGTCCTTGCCACCTCCCTGTCCCCTCTCCGTGTCCCTGCCAGCCCCCGTGTCCCCTGTCTGGGGTCACTGCCACCCCCCATATCCCCTGTCTGGAGTCCCTGCCACCCCCATGTCCCTTGTCTGGGGTCCTTGCCACCTCCCTGTCCCCTGTCCAAGGTCCCTGCCCTCCTCGTGTCCCCTCTCCGTGTCCCTGCCACCCCTCATGTCCCCTCTCTGGGGTCCCTGCCACCCCCTGTGTCCCTTGTCTGGGGTCTCTGCCACCCCCATGTCCCTTGTCCGGGTCCCTGCCCCACCGGTGTCCCTTGTCCGGGGTCCCTGCCACCCCCTGTGTCCCTTGTCTGGGCTCCCTGCCACCCCTGTGTCCCTTGTCCGGGGTCCCTGCCCTCTCTCTGGGGTCCCTGCCACCCCTGTGTCCCCTCTCCGTGTCCCTGCCACCCCCCATTTCCCTTGTCTGGGGTCCCTGCCACCCCCCTGTCCCCTCTCCGTGTCCCTGCCACCCCCGTGTCCCCTCTCCGTGTCCCTGCCACCCCCGTGTCTTCTCTCCGTGTCCCTGCCACCCCCCGTGTCCCCTGTCTGGGGTCCCTGCCACCTCCCTGTCCCCTTTCCGTGTCTCTGCCACCCCCGTATCCCCTCTCTGGGGTCCCTGCCCTCCTCGTGTCCCCTCTCCGTGTCCCTGCCACCCCCATGTCCCCTCTCCGTGTCCCTGCCACCCCCATGTCCCATCTCTGGGGTCCCTGCCACCCCTGTGTCCCTTGTCTGGGGTCCATGCCACCCCCCATGTCCCTTGTCCGGGGTCCCTGCCCTCTCTCTGGGGTCCCTGCCACCCCTGTGTCCCCTTTCTGGGGTCCCTGCCACCCCCTGTGTCCCTTGTCCGGGGTCCCTGCCCTCTCTCTGGGGTCCCTGCCCCACCGTGTCCCCTGCCCGGGGTCCCTGTCCCCCGGTGTCCCCTCGGGGGTCCCCTGGGTGCCACCTTGCCGAAGGGCATGAGGTAGTGCTCCAGGTGTGGCCCGGAGAGGGGCTCGGGCCGCTGGCTGTCGTCGGCCACCACGATGGTGACAGAGGGGTAGAAGCGGCGGATGCTGGCGATGAGTCCCCGCAGTTTGTCATAGCGCAGGAACGTCTTGGTGGCCACTGTCACCAGCGCCGAGATGTTGTACCCTGCGGGAGGGGCGCTGGGAGATGGAACTGGGGGCACTGGGAGCACTGGGAGTGCTGGGAGTCTGAACTGGGAGCACTGGGAGCCGGAACTGGGAGTGCTGGGAGTGCTGGGAGTGCTGGGAGAACTGGGAGTGCTGGGAGCTTGAACTGGGAGTACTGGGAGCACTGGGAGCCTGAACTGGGAGTGCTGGGAGCCGGCACTGGGAGTGCTGGCAGCTTGAACTGGGAGTGCTGTAAGTACTGGGAGCCTGAACTGGGAGTGCTGGGAGCTTGAACTGGGAGTACTGGGAGCGCTGGGAGCACTGGGAGCCGGCACTGGGAGAACTGGGAGAACTGGGAGTACTGGGAGCCTGAACTGGGAGCGCTGGGAGCCTGAACTGGGAGCGCTGGGAGCTGGCACTGGGAGCACTGGGAGAACTGGGAGTACTGGGAGCCTGAACTGGGAGCGCTGGGAGCCTGAACTGGGAGTACTGGGAGCACTGGGGGCCTGAACTAGGAGCACTGGGAGTGCTGGGAGTGCTGGGGGCCTCAACTGGGAGCGCTGGGAGCACTGGGACCTGGCACTGGGAGCGCTGGGAGCTCTGGGAGGCTGAACTGGGAGTGTTGGGAGTACTGGGAGCCTGAACTGGGAGCACTGGGAGTACTGGGAGCCTGAACTGGGAGCGCTGGGAGCTCTGGGAGCCTGAACTGGGAGTGCTGGGAGCACTGGGAGCCTGAACTGGGAGTGCTGGGAGCCGGCACTGGGAGCGCTGGGAGCGCTGGGAGCCTGAACTGGGAGGGCTGGGAGTACTGGGAGCAATGGGAGCGCTGGAAGCCTGAACTGGGAGTACTGGGAGTGCTGGGAGCCTGAACTGGGAGTGCTGAGAGTACTGGGAGCCGGCACTGGGAGCACTGGGAGCCGGAACTGGGAGCACTGGGGGCCTGAACTGGGAGTGCTGGGAGCACTGGGAGCACTGGGAGCCTGAACTGGGAGCGCTGGGAGAACTGGGAGCCTGAACTGGGAGCCTGTACTGGGAGTGCTGGGAGCCTGAACTGGGAGCACTGGGAGCACTGGGAGCGCTGGGAGCACTGGGAGCGCTGGGGGCCTGAACTGGGAGCACTGGGAGTGCTGGGGGACTGAACTGGGAGCGCTGGGAGCCTGAACTGGGAGCACTGGGAGCTCTGGGAGCCTGCACTGGGAGTGCTGGGAGCCTGAACTGGGAGTGCTGGGAGCCTGAACTGGGAGTACTGGGAGCACTGGGAGCGCTGGGGGCCTGAACTGAGAGCGCTGGGAGCACTGGGAGCCTGAACTGGGAGTACTGGGAGCCTGAACTGGGAACGCTGGGAGTGCTGGGAGCGCTGGGAGCCTGAACTGGGAACGCTGGGAGTACTGGGGGCCTGAACTGGGAGTATTGGGAACCCAAACTGGGAGCGCTGGGAGCTCTGGGAGCCTGAACTGGGAGTACTGGGAGAACTGGGAGTGCTGGGAGCGCTGGGAGCCTGAACTGGGAGTGCTGGGAGTACTGGGATCGCTGGGAGTGCTGGGAGCACTGGGAACCTAAACTGGGAGCTCTGGGAGCCTGAACTGGGAGCGCTGGGAGCTTGAACTGGGGACATTGGGAGCACCGGGAGCACTGGGGACACTGGGGACACCGGGAGCACCGGGGACACCGGGGAGCACCGGGAGCACCGGGAGCACCGGGAGCACCGGGGACACCGGGAGCACCGGGAGCACCGGGAGCACCGGGAGCACCGTGCCCCGCGCAGGTGTGGGGCCGCCGGGTCGTGCTCACCCCCGTCCCCGCCGCTGTCACTGTCACTGTCGCTGTCGCTGTCGGTGTCGCTGTCACCGGCGGTCCCGGGGCCGTACAGGCGCGGCGTGGGCGGGTGGCGGATGCGGATGGCGAAGGCGGCGGAGTGACCGTCGGTGGAGAACCGCACTGCGGGGGGAGGGGCGGCTGGGGGCACGGGGGGCACCGGGAGGTACCGGGAGGTACCGGGGGACACGGGGGGCATTGGGGCACGGGGGGCACGGGGGGCACGGGGGGCACGGGGGGCACGGGGGGCACCGGGGGCACCGGGAGGTACCGGGGGACACGGGGGGCATTGGGGCACGGGGGGCACGGGGGGCACGGGGGGCACGGGGGGCATTGGGGCATGTGGGGAACGGGGGGAACGGGAGGTACCGGGAGGCACGGGGTCAAGGAGGGCAAGGGGGGCATTGGGGCACGGGGGGCATTGGGGCATGGGGGGCACGGGGGTATGGGGGGCACGGGGGGCACGGGGGGCACCGGGAGGTACCGGGGGGCATTGGGGCATGGGGGGCATGGGGGGCATGGGGGGCACGGGGGTTAATGGGGGCACGGGGCGCACGGGGGCACGGGGGGCATTGGGGTATGGGGGGCACGGGGGCATGGGGGGCAAGGGGGCACGGGGGGCACGGGGGGCACGGGGGGCACGGGGGGCACGGGGGGCACGGGGGGCACGGGGGGCACGGGGGGCACAGGGGGTAATGGGGGCACGGGGGGCACGGGGGGGGCATTGGGGCATGGGGGGCACGGGGGGCACGGGGGGTATTGGGGCATGGGTGGTAAGGGGGGCACGAGGGGCACGGGGGACATGGGGGGCACGGGCGGCAAAGGGGGCACGGGGGGAAAGGGGGGCAAAGGGGGCACGGGGGGCACGGGGGGAATGGGGGGTATGGGGGGCATTGGGGCACGGGGGGCACGGGGGGCACCGAGGGTAAGGGGGGAACGGGGGGCATGGGGGGCACGGGGGGCACGGGGGGCACCGGGAGGTTCCGGGGGGCATTGGGGCAAAGGGGGCACGGGGACACGGGGGGCACAGGGGGCACGGGGGGCATTGGGGACACGGGGGGCATGGGGGAAATGGGGGGCAAGGGGGGCACGGGGGGCACGGGGAACGACGGGGGCATTGGGGATACCCCGAGTGTTCCAGGGACACCCCGAGTGTCCCTGTGGGCATTGGGGACACCCCTGTGGGCATTGGGGAACCCACGAGTGTCCCTGCGGGCATTGTGGATATGGGGGTGTCCCTGTGGGCAGTGGGGTACCCCGAGTGTCCCTGTGGGCATTGGGGAACCCACGAGTGTCCCTGTGGGCATTGGGGACACCCCTGTGGGCATTGGGGGTACCCCGAGTGTCCCTGTGGGCATTGGGGGTATGGGGGTGTCCCTGTGGGTATTGGGGTACCCCGAGTGTCCCTGTGGGTATCGGGGGTACCCCGAGTGTCCCTGCGGGTATTGGGGGTACCCCGAGTGTCCCTGTGGGCAGTGGGGGTACCCCGAGTGTCCCTGTGGGCATTGTAGATATGGGGGTGTCCCTGTGGGCATTGGGGGTACCCCGAGTGTCCCTGTGGGTATTGGGGACACCCCGAGTGTCCCTGTGGGCATTGGGGGTACCCCGAGTGTCCCTGTGGGTATTGGGGATCCGGGGGTGTCCCTGCGGGCATTGTGGATCCGGGGGTCCCGGGGGGAACAGGGCACCCAGGGGGGAATCGCTGAGGGTCCCAGGGGTGCTGCAGCCCCCACGGGCGAGCCGCGGTCCCGGGGGGCCGTGGGGGTGCCGGGGGTCCCGGACTCAGCCCGTCGCACCGATGTCGGCGGTGTCGGGGTGGAACTGGGTGTTGGTGTAGGTGACGAACTGCAGCTGCCGGTTCAGGTGGTCCAGCCGCGCCGCGGTAACGGACAGGTGCGGCTGCCCCTCCCCCCGCAGCGCCACGCCCTCCACCTCGGCCGCCACCGCCAGAGTCCCCAGAGAGGCCGTCAGGTTCACCTGGGGGCGGCACGAACGGCGGGGACCCCCAAAAGTGGGGAGGGGGCGCACGGAGTGGGGAGGGGGCGCGCCCAGCCCGCCCCGGCCCCGCCCACCCTTTAGCCCCGCCCACAGAGCGGGCAGACCACGCCCACACATAACCACGCCCACGGACCTGGAATGCCACGCCCACCCGATAGCCACGCCCACAGATTGATCAGGCCCCGCCCAGTCCACGCCAATTCAATTGCCATACCCACCTCATAGCCACGCCCACAGATCAGACAGGCCACGCCCACTCTGCTCCGTTGCCCCGCCCACCTGTCCCGCCCACCCCTTAACTCCGCCCACAGACCGAATAGACCCCGCCCATTCCATTAAAGCCACGCCCCCGCCCCGTGCCCCCCCTCACCCTCACCTGGTACCTGCTCCGGGCCGGGGCCTGCAGGCTGAGCCCTGGGGGTGCGACACGGGGGTGAGGCCAGAGACCCCCCCAGGGACCCCCTGTGCCCCCCGAGCCATCGGGGGCACCCCCTGCCCGGGGACACCCACCCCGTGCCCAGGGACACCCCCTGACCAGGGACACCCCCTGTTCAAGGGCACCCCCTGTCCCCTCCGGAGCCATCGGGGGCACCCCGTGTTCAAGGGACACCCCCTGTTCAAGGGCACCCCCTGCTCAGGGACACCCCCTGTTCAAGGGACACCCCCTGTTCAAGGGACACCCCCTGCCCATGGACACCCCCTGCCCAGGAACACCCCCTGCCCAGGGACACCCACCCCCTGCCCAGGGACACCCACCCCGTGCCCAGGGACACCCCCTGCCCAGGACACCCCCTGTTCAAGGGCACCCCCTGTTCTAGGACACCCCCTGCCCAGGACACCACCCCCTGTTCAGGGACACCCCCTGTTCAAGGGCACCCCCTGCCCAGGGACACCCACCCCTTGCCCAGGGACACCCCCTGTTCAGGGACACCCCCTGCCCAGGGACACCCCCAACCCAGGGCACCCCCTGTTCAAGGGACACCCCCTGCCCATGGACACCCCCTGCCCAGGGACACCCCCTGCCCAGGGACACCCACCCCGTGCCCAGGGACACCCACCCCGTGCCCAGGGACACCCCCTGTTCAAGGGCACCCCCTGTTCAAGGGCACCCCCTGCCCAGGGTCACCCACCCCCTGCCCAGGGACACCCCCTGCCCAGGGACACCCACCCCGTGCCCCCACAGGTGCCCCCCACCCCTGTGCCCCCCCCAGCGTTTCCCACCCCCATGTTTCCCCCACTCTGTGCCCACCCCTGAGCCGCTGCCCCCACCCCGGTGCCCCCCACCCCGGTGCCCCCACCCCGGTGCCCACCACCCCCTTGCCCCCTCACCGGGCACCAGCACCGTCTGCAGCGGCCGCACCTCCACCCCCTGCACCGGGTACTCCAGCGGGGAGTTGGCGGGGACGATCAGCAGCCGGTCAGCGGGGGTCTGCACCCTGCGGGGGCACCGGAGCCTCACCGGGGGTCCCACCCCGCACACCGGCCCGGGGGTCCCGGTTCGCCCCGCCGCCGCGCTCACCGGCTCCGGTAGTTGCGGTACTCGCGCTCCCGCAGGCGGAGCTGCCGCGGCCGTTCCGCGGGGGCGAAGGCGCTGCCGAAATCCATCCCCGGCGGGCCGGGCCCGAAGAGTCTCCGGTGGAGCGGCAGCGCCAGTCCCGCCTCCGCCTCCGCCTCGCACGAGCAGCCGTTCCTGGGCAGCAGCCTGGCACGACAGGGCCGCTGGCACCGACCGGCGGCACCTGCCTGACCCGCGTGGCACTGCCCTGGCATGGCCCTGGCACCTCACGTCCCTGCCTGATCTGCGTGGCACTGCCCTGGCACCGCCCTGGCACTGCCCTGACACCTCCTGTCCCTGCCTGTCCCCTCTTGGCACCACCCTGGCACCGCCCTGGCACCTCCTGTCACTGCCTGACCTGCGTGGCACCAACCTGGCACGGCCCTGACACGGCCCTGGCACCTCCTGTCCCTGCCTGTCCCTCTTGGCACTGCCCTGGCACCGCCCTGACACCTCCTGTCACTGCCTGTCCTGCGTGGCACCGCCCTGGCACTGCCCTGGCACTGCCCTGGCATCACCCTGGCACCACCCTGGCACTGCCTGACCCGCGTGGCACCGCTCTGGCATCACCCTGGCACGGTCCTGGCACTGCCCTGGCACCTCCTGTCACTGCATGTCCCCTCTTGGCACTGTCCTGACACCTCCTGGCACTGCCTGTCCCCTCTTGGCACTGTCCTGGCACCTCCCTGGCACCTTCCTGACACGTCCTGTCCCTGCCTGTCCCGCGTGGCACTGTCTTGGCACGGCCCTGGCACCGCCCTGGCACTGCCTGACCCGCGTGGCACTGTCTTGGCACGGCCCTGGCACGGCCCTGGCACTGCCTGACCCGCGTGGCACTGTCTTGGCATGTCCCTGGCACTGCCCTGACACGGTCCTGACACGGCCCTGGCACCACCCTGGCACCTCCCTGGCACCTTCCAGCTCCACCTCACCACCACCCACCACAGCCCTGACCCGCCCTGGCACTGCCTTTGTCCCCCCTCTGCTGTCACCGCCCTTCCCGCTGCCCCACCACCCCACCCTGGGGTGCCCCCACCTTTGGGTGCCCCAAGCCATGGGTGCCCCATGGGAGCCACAACCCCATCCTGGGGTGCCCTCGGCCCTGAGCACCCCCCCTGTGCCCCATCCCCGGGGCTCCCAGGCCCCCACCCATGGGTGCCCCCCCACCTTTGTCTGCCCCCCCACCTTTGGCTGCCCCCCCACCTTTGGGTGCCCCCCCACCTTTGGCTGCCCCCCCACCTTTGGCTGCTCCCCCACCTTTGGGTGCCCCCCCACCTTTGGCTGCTCCCGCACCTTTGGCTGCTCCCCCACCTTTGGGTGCCCCCCACCTTTGGGTGCCCCCCACCTTTGGCTGCTCCCCCACCTTTGGGTGCCTCCCCACCTTTGGGTGCTCCCCCAACCCATGGGTGCCCCCCCACCTTTGGTTGCTCCCCCACCTTTGGGTGCCCCCCACCTTTGGGTGCTCCCCCACCTTTGGCTGCTCCTCCACCTTTGAGTGCCCCCCCCACCTTTGGGTGCCCCCCCACCTTTGGGTGCCCCCCACCCTTGGGTGCCCCCCCACCTTTGGCTGCTCCCCCACCTTTGGGTGCCCCCCCACCTTTGGGTGCCCCCCCACCTTTGGCTGCTCCCCCACCTTTGGGTGCTCTCCCAACCCATGGGTGCCCCCCCCACCCTTGGGTGCCCCCCCACCCTTGGGTGCCCCCACCCTCCCCCCGCCCGTCCTTACTCCAAGACCTCCTCCTTGAGGCGGAAGGGCACGTGGGGGTAGGCGCGGGCGGGGGGGGGCAGGGGGGGTGGCAGCCGCTCGGGGGGGGGGCGGCGCAGGTCCACGCTGGGGGCACCCTTGGGTGCCCAGAGGTGCAGGTAGAGCGCGGCCAGCGAGGCCGAGGCCACCAGCAGCAGGCACAGCGCCCGCTGCGCCCCCCGCATCCTGCCTGGGGGGCACAGTGTCACCCAGGGGTGCCACAGTGCCACCAGTGCCCACCAGTAACACCCAGTGATCCCAGTGCCCCCCAGTGCCCCCAGTGCCCCCAGTAACACCCAGTGCCCCCCAGTGAAACCCAGTACAACCCAGTGAAACCCGGTGAAACCAAGTGAAATCCAGTGCCCCCAGTGCCCCCCAGTGCCCCCCAGTGCTCCCAGTGCCCCCCAGTGCCACCCAGTGTTCCCAGTGAAACACAGTAAAACCCAGTAAAACCAGTAAACCCAGTGAAACCCAGTGTCCCCAGTGCTCCCAGTGCCCCCCAGTACAACCCAGTAAAACCCAGTGCCCCCCAGTACAACCCAACCCCTTCCAGTGCCCCCAGTGCCCCCCAGTGCCCCCAGTCCTCCCAGTCCCTCCCAGTGCTCCCAGTCCCACCCAGTGCCCCTAGTCCCAGTGCTCCCAGTGCCCCCAGTGCCCCCAGTACAAACCAGTGCCCACAGCACCTCCCAGTGACTCCCAGTACAAACCAGTGCCGCCCATGCACTGCACCCTCCCTCATCCCTGCGCTGCCTCCAGCGTTTCCCAGTACTCCCATCTCCCAATTCCCAGTTCAGCCCAGTGCCCACCCAGTTCCTCCTCTCTGCTGTGCTCGCACCCCGTCCATCCCTCCCCAGTGCTCCCAGTGCTCCCAGTCCCTCCCAGTGCTCCCAGTACAACCCAGTGCCCCCAGTCCCTCCCAGTGCCCCCAGTGCTCCCAGTCCCTCCCAGTGCCCCCAGTGCTCCCAGTGCCCCCAGTGCTCCCAGTGCTCCCAGTCCCTCCCAGTCCCTCCCAGTCCCTCCCAGCACTCCCAGTGCTCCCAGTCCCCCCAGTGTCCCCCAGTGCCTCCCAGTGCCCCCCAGTAAAACCCAGTGAAACCCAGTGCCCCCAGTGCCACCCAGTGCTCCCAGTCCCACCCAGTGCCCCCAGTGCCCCCAGTCCCCCCAGTCCCTCCCAGTCCCTCCCAGTGTCCCCAGTCCCCCCAGTGCCCCCAGTGCTCCCAGTGCTCACCTGGGGGTGGCTGCGGGTCCCGGCGGGGGGGGCTCAGCCCTCCCTCATGGCTCTGCCCCCACAGCACCGCTCTGGGGACACGGGGACAGTGTCGGGGCGGGAGGGACCCGGACCCCCCCAGACCCCCCCGGACCCCCCGGGGATGAGGGGCTCGGGCACAGGCGGGGCCGGCGCGGCGGGAGGGGCCGGTGATACCGGGGGGAACCGGGGGTGTCAGGGGCACAGCGGCGATGTCGCAGCCGCGGGGCGGTGGCAGGTGCCATCCCTCATCGCGACACGTCGCGACAACAGCGGTCCCGGCCCTACCTGGCTCCGCTGGCGGATCCCGCAAACGGCACCGGCACCGGAGCGGGCGGCGAGGGCGCCCCCGGCGGCCCCGGTGTGCAACGACACCGCCGCAGCACCGGGAGGGGCGGGGCGAGAATGCGGGGGGGGCGCAGAACGGGGGGAGGGCCGGGCCGGAATCAGCGGCCGCGCTTTGTGCCCACGCGTGGGGCGCACAACGGCCCCATTGAGCGGGGCGGGAAGCGCGGGGGGGCCCGGCCGGAGCTCTGCCGGGACCGGGAGGGGACCGGGGGGATGGGGGGGTTCGGGGCGCTGCCGGTGGCGGGAGGAGCGCGGAGGGACCCGGGGGGCGCTCGGGGAGGTTTGGGCGGGTCCGGGGGAGCAGAGGGGCTCCGGTACCGCGGATGGGACCGGGGGGTGCTGGGGGCGGTCCCGAACACCGCGGAGCCCCCTCCCGGTTCCGGTAATCACGTGATCCCCCGGGGGATGCTCGGCGCTCTCCGCCAATCAGCGCGCGGGGATCGCCTGCATCCCGCTCAGCCAATGGGAAACGGCCGCGCCTGACGTCATGGCGACCGGCCGCGCCCCGCCTCGCCATTGGCTGCCGCCCGCGCGCGCCCCGGCCAATCGCCGCGGCCTCCGTTCTCGCCACCGCCTCGCCCCCGCGGCCTCACAACCGGCGGCGTCATCCCCGCCCGCTGACCAATCAGAGCCGCGCTTGGTTTGACAGACAGACGTTTGAGCCAATCGCGATGCGGAACAGCGGGGCCGGGGCGGGCGCGGGGAGGCGCGGGCGGAAGCGGAAGCGGCGGCGGCGGCGGGGGAAGATGGCGGCGCGGCGGGGCCCGGGGCCGGTGGCGGCGGTGGCGCTGCTGGCGCTGCTCGGCCCGGGGTGGCCCCTCCGCGGGGCCCGAGCCGCGCTCAACCTGCAGGAGCTCAGCGAGCTCAAGTACGGCCTCGAGATCCTGGCCGAGCCCGTGCTGGCCGGGCAGGTGCGCCGCGGCACCGGGGCTAACGGAGGGGGGAGGCGGGCGGCGCCCCGGGGCTCTACCGGGACCGGCCGAGCACCGGGGCGGCGGCTGCGGGTCGGGAATGCCGCACGGGACGGGCCTAAGGGGACCGAGGGCGGTCCGGGACGGGGCCGGGTCAGGGCGAACCGGGACACCGGTTGTGCTCCTTCCCGGGGCTGAACCGGGCCGGGACACCGGCTGTGCTCCTTCCCGGGGCCGGGGGTCCGTTCCTGTCTGTGGGGGGGCTGTGGGGGTCACCGGGGGGGTTATGGGGTCTCTCTGGGGTTATAGGGTCCCGGGGGTCTCTCTGTGTTCCCGGGGGGTCTCTCTGGGGTCCCGGGGGTGTCTCTGTGGTCCCGGGGGTCTCTCTGGGGTTATGGGGTCCCGGGGGTCTCTCTGGGGTCCCGGGGGGTCTCTCTGGGGTCCCGGGGGGTGTTATGGGGTCTCTCCGGGGTCCCGGGGGTCTCTCTGTGGTCCCGGGGGGTCTCTCCGGGGGTCTCTCTGTGGTCCCGGGAGTCTCTCCGGGGGTCTCTCTGAGGTCCCGGGGGGTCTCTCTATGTTCCCGGGGGGTCTCTCTGTGTTCCCGGGGGTCTCTCTGGGGTCTCTCTGTGGTCCCGGGGGTCTCTCTGTGTTCCCGGGGGGTCTCTCTGTGTTCCCGGGGGTCTCTCGGGGGGTCTCTCTGGGGTCCCGGGGAGTCTCTCTGGGGATCTCTCCGGGGTCCCGGGGGTCTCTCGGGGGTCCCGGGGGTCTCTGACGGCTCCGTGCCCGCAGCACCGCGCCGAGGAGGTGGTGACGGTGGCCTCGCGGTTCAAGCAGCGCTACGAGTGCCGCCTCCCCCCCGCGGCCGTGGGGCCGCCCCCCGGCCCGCCCCGCGACCCCCGCCCCTACAACGGCTCGGGCGTGGCCGAGCTGCTGCGGCCCATGGGCACCGCGCCCTGCCTGCTGAAGGTGAGATTTGGGGGGCACGGGGATGCCAGGGGGCACCCCCAGTTCCCCTCACCCCACACCTCCCACCCCCCCAGACCAAGGACTGGTGGACCTACGAGTTCTGCTACGGGCGGCACATCCAGCAGTACCACCTGGAAGGTGACATGGGGACAGCGTGGGGACGTGGGGACACCGTGGGGGCACCGTGGGGGGCACAGGGGCACTGCCAGCCCGGCCACAATGTGTGCCCCCCCCCCCGGTGCCCGCAGAGTCGGAGATCAAGGGGGACGTGCTGGTGCTGGGCTATTACCAGGCGGCCTTTGACTGGGGTGATGAGACGGGCAAGGTGGGTGTGCCCTGCGCTGGGGAGGGGGCAGCGATGTGCCCTGTCTGCCCTGTGCCCACCCCTGCCCTGTGCCCACCCGTGCCCCTGCTGTCCCCCTGCCCTCCCCTGCCCACCTGTGCCCCCCGTGCCCCCCCATGTTCTGCCCTCCCCCTGCTGTCCCCCTGCCCTGTGCCCACCCCTACCTGCCCCATGCCCTCCCGTGCCCTCCCCCTGCCCTTCCCTGTGCCCACCCGTGCCCCTGCTGTCCCTCTGTCCTCCCTCTGCCTTCCCCGTGCCCTCCCCCTGCCCTCCCCTACCTGCCCCATGCCCTCCCCTGCCTGCCCCATGCCCTCCCGTGCCCACCTGTGCTGTCCCCTGCCCTTCCCTGCCCACCCCTGCCCTCCCCCTGCCCTGTGCCCACCCCTACCTGCCCCACGCCCTCCTGTGCCCACCTGTGCCCTGTGCCCACCCCTACCTGCCCCATGCTCACCCATGCCTTCCCCCTGCCCTTCCCCGTGCCCACCCATGCCCATGCTGTCCCCCTGCCCACCTGTGCCCTCCCCCTGCCCACCCATGCCCTCCCTCTGCCCTCCCCTTGCCCTTCCCCTGCCCTGTGCCCACCCCTGCCTGCCCCCTGCCCTCCCCTTGCCCTCCCCCTGCCCTTCCCCGTGCCCTCCCCCTGCCCTGTGCCCACCCCTACCTGCCCCATGCCCACCCCTGCCTGCCCCATGCCATCCCCCTGCCCACCCCTGCCCTCCCCATGCCCTTCCCCTGCCCACCCGTGCCCCCTGTGCCCTCCCCTGCCCACCTGTGCCCACCCCTGGGGACAGGAACAGCACTGTCCCCTGCCCCCCCTGTGTCCACCTGTGCCCACCTATGCCCCTGCCCTCCCCCTGCCCTTCCCCTTGCCCACCCATGCCCCCCCATGCTCTGCCCTCCCCCTGCCCTGTGCCCACCCCTACCTGCCCCATGCCCACCTGTGCTGTCCCCTGTCCTCCCCTGTGCCCACCCGTGCCCACCCCTGCCCTGTGCCTACTCCTGGGGACAGGGACAGCACTGTCCCTTTCCCCCCAGTGCCCTCCCCCTGCCCTGTGCCCACCCGTGCCCTCCCCGTGCCCACCCCCTGCCCTTCCCTATGCCCACCCGTGCCCCCCGTGCCCTCCCCTGCCCTCCCATACCCTCCCCATGCCCTTCCCCTGCCCACCCGTGCCCCCTGTGCCCTCCCCATGCCCTCCCCTGCCCTTCCCTGTGCCCACCCGTGCCCCTGCTGTCCCCCTGCCCTCCCCCTGCCCCATGCCCTCCTGTGCCCACCCGTGCCCACCGGTGCCCACCCATGCCCCCCATGCCCCCCCAGGCCTCCAAGCAGCAGCAGCTGCGGCGCTACCACAGCCAGAGCTACGTGAACGGCTCCCGCTGCGACCTGACCGGCCGTGCCCGCGAGGCCGAGGTCCGGGTAAGGCCGGGGGGCACCGGGGGGCACTTGGGGGGCACTTGGGGGGCAGCAGAGCCTCAGCCCGTGCCCACCCCGCAGTTCCTGTGCGAGGAGGGCGCCGGGGACTACATCGCCCGCGTGGACGAGCCGCAGTCGTGCCGGTACGTGCTGACGGTGCACACCACGCGCATCTGCCACCACCCGTTCCTGCGGCCCGCCCCGGGGCTGGCACCGCAGCCCATCCGCTGCCAGCCCGCCCTCTCGCCCGCCCAGTACGTCCAGTACGTGCGGGCACAAGTCTGTGAGTACCGGGGAGCCCTGGGCAGGGCGTGGGGGGCGGGGTGTGGGGCTGGCACGGCCGTTGTGGGGCTGGCACTGTGCCCTGCTGCAGGGCTGGTGCTGTCCCCTTGGGGCTGGGACTGGCACTGTCCCCTCCAGTGTGGGGCTGGCACTATCCCCTCCATCCCGGGGCTGGCAGTGTCCCCACCAGCCTGGCACTGGCCCCTTTAGTGTGGGGCTGGCACTGTCCCCTCCAGTGTGGGGCTGGCACTGTCCCCACCAGCCTGGCATTGTCCCCTTCGGCCTGGGGCTGGCATTGTCCCCTCCAGTGTGGGGCTGGTACTGTCCCCATCAGTGTGGGGCTGGCACTGTCCCCTCCGGCCTGGGGCTGGCACTGTCCCCTTTGGCCTGGGGCTGGCATTGTCCCCTCAATCCTGGGGCTGGCACTGTCCCCTTCGGCCTGGCACTGTCACCTCCAGTGTGGGGCTGGCACTGTCCCCTCCAGCCTGGGGCTGGCACTGTCCCCTTCGGCCTGGCACTGTCCCCTCCAGTGTGGGGCTGGCATTGTCCCCTCAATCCCGGGGCTGGCCCTGTCCTCTCCAGCCTGCCCTTGTCCCCTCCGTCCTAGGGCTGGCCTTGTCACCTTCCTGGCCCTGTCCCCTCCATCCCGGGGCTGGCACTGTCCCCTTCAGCCTGGCATTGTCCCCTCCGGTGTGAGGCTGGCACAGTCCCCTTCGGTGTGGGGCTGGCACTGTCCCCTTCAGCCTGGGGCTGGCACTGTCCCCTCCAATGTGGGTCTGGCACTGTCCTCTTCAGCCTGCCCTTGTCCCCTCTGTCCTGGGGCTGGCCCTGTCACCTTCCTGGCTGTGTCCCCTCTGTCCTGGGGCTGGCACTGGGGTGCCCCAGTCCGCTCTGTCCTGGGGCTGGCCTTGTCCCCTCTGTGCCAGGGCTGGCCTTGTCCCCTCTGTGCCAGGGCTGGCCTTGTCCCCTCGGCCACAGTCCTGCCGTGGTCCTGGCGCTGGGGCTGTCCCCAGCCGTGCTGTCCCTGTCCCCTGTGTCCCCAGCTGACACCAAGAGGAAGGTGGAGGAGATCTCGGAGGAGCTGCGGACGTTGGACACGCGCCTCTGGAGCGACAGGGACAGCGATGGCCCCACCCAGGACGGTACGGCCCTGTCCCCACTGACGGTGACAGCACTGCCACTGTCCCCTCTCCTCCTGGGACCCCTGTCCCCACTGACTGTGACAGCACTGCCACTGTCCCCTCTCCTCCTGGGACCCCCAGCCTGGCTCTCAGTGCCGGGCACGTCCCCCCTGTGCCAGCTGTGTCCCCCCTGTGCCAGGGACCCCTCCAGAGCCCGCCAGGGACGTGCCAGGTGAGGAGCAGGAGGTGCCAACCACGGCCAGTGACCAGCAGGACAGCACCAGGGTGAGTCCCAGCGCCCCTGGGGACATTCTGGGGGTCTGGGGACACTTTGGGGGGGTTTAGAATGCTCCATCCCATCTCCTCCCTGCAGGAGCCATCCCCGAGGGCAGCTGGTGGTCGGGCAGCTGGTGAGTCTGCAGTGCCCACCCCGTGTCACCTCCAGGTGACAGTGGCCAGCCCTGTGTCCCCCCTGCCACTCCCAGCCCCCCTCTCCGCCTTCCCTCGTAGATCCACGGAAGAAAATCCACTTCAAGGTGATCCGGAGCCCCGGGGACCTGCTGCAGTTCATCGAGGAGCTGAAGGAGACCACCAGGAAGGTGGGCACCTCCCCCCCGTGCCCCTCGGGGTGTCTCTGCGTGCCTCAGTTTCCCCCTGAGCCCCTCCCCGCTGCTTCAGGCCAAGGAGAAGGCGAGCGAGGAGGAGGAGGCAGCAGCCAAAGCTCCCCCAGCCCCACCTGGCCCCACAGAGCCCCCCAGCCCCGAGGCCCCCCCCAGGGGGGTGCAGGAGGATGAGGAGGAGGATGAGGAAGATGAGGAGGAGGAGGAGGCAGGGCCGCTGCTGGCGGGGCTGGAGCTGCTGCCACGGGAGCAGGTGGCGAGGCTGAAGGAGGAGGTGAAGAGCCAGATGGAGCAGGAGTTCGACAGCATCATCAGCGAGGTGGGGACCCTTGGTGGGCTGGGACCCCCACGGGGGTGCTGGGACCCCCACGGGGGCACTGGGATCCCCTGATTGGGGTGGGATCCCCAGAGGGGCACTGGGACCCCCAGAGGGGCGCTGGGACCCCCACAGGGGCACTGGGACCCCCTGATTGGGGTGGGACCCCCACAGGGGCACTGGGACCCCCACAGGGGCACTGGGACCCCCTGATTGGGGTGGGACCCCCACAGGGGCACTGGGACCCCCACAGGGGCACTGGGACCCCCTGATTGGGGTGGGACCCCCACAGGGGCACTGGGACCCCCGCAGGGGCACTGGGATCCCCTGATTGGGGTGGGAACCCCAGAGGGGCACTGGGACCCCCTGATTGGGGTGGGACCCCCAGAGGGGCACTGGGAACCCCAGAGGGGCACTGGGACCCCCACAGGGGCACTGGGACCCCCTGATTGGGGTGGGACCCCCACTGGGGCACTGGGACCCCCAGAGGGGCACTGGGACCCCCTGGCTGGGGTGGGACCCCCAGAGGGGCACTGGGATCCCCTGATTGGGGTGGGACCCCCACAGGGGCACTGGGACCCCCAGAGCAGCACTGGGAACCCCAGAGGGTCACTGGGACTCCCTGATTGGGGTGGGACCCCCACAGGGACACTGGGATCCCCTGGTTGGGGTGGGACCCCCACGGGGGCACTGGGACTCCCACGGGGGCACTGGGACCCCCTGATTGGGGTGGGACCCCCAGAGGGGCACTGGGACCCCCACGGGGGCACTGGGACCCCCTGATTGGGGTGGGACCCCCAGAGGGGCACTGGGATCCCCAGAGGGGCACTGGGACCCCCTGATTGGGGTGGGACCCCCACGGGGGCACTGGGACCCCCAGAGCAGCACTGGGACCCCCTCCCAGCTGTGCTGGGGACCCCCTGAGTGCACTGGGATCCCCCTGGCTGGGCAGGGGAGCCCCTTGGGAGGGTTGGGACCCCCCTGGCTGTGCTGAGGACAGAGCTGGGGACATCCCAGCAGAGTTGGGGACATCCTGGGGACATCCTGTGTGTGCCGGGCTGGGGACTGCAGGTGGAGGATGAGTTGGAGACCGAAGGGCTGAAGGGCGAGTTCGACCGGAGCCGCGCCAGCCGCACCCTGGCGACCACCCTGACCCGGCTGATGGAGCGGCTGGACGGGCCCGAGCCCCGCCGCGACCCCCGCGAGGGGCGCAGGGACGAGGAGGAGGAGGAGGAGGAGGAGGAGGAGGCGAGGAAGGGCAGCCCCCGGCGCCACAAGGAGGGGCGGGTGCGGATGGGCAGAACCGGGAGCCGCGACCCGCCCCGGGAACCACCCCAGGAACCGGAGCCTCGCCCGGGGAAACCCACCCGGGAGCACCGGGAACCCCCCCGGGGGGATCGGGAGCAGCACCGGGGGGATCTGGAGCAGCACCGGGAGCCCCCCAAGGAAAACCAGAGCCCCCCACGGCTGCCGCAGATGGAGAATGAGGTGCGGGAGCTGCTGGCCAAGGAAGGGCTGCGGGCTGAAGGTAGGGAGAGCTCCAATGTGGGGGGTGGGACAGCAATGGGGAGCCCCCTGCCCCCTCCCCCAGCCCCAAATTAACCCCTCCTCAACCGCAGGGAAGATCGAGATCAAGATCGTGACGGCATCATCGGGGGGAGAGGAGGAGGAGGCGGCGCAGTGGCTGTCGGAGGAGGATTCCCGGAGCCTGAAGGAGATTTTCCTCAGCATCCTGGTGCGGGGAGGGGTCAGGGGGTGGGAATTTATGGGAATTTATGGGAATTGTGGCTTCGGGGGGAAACTGAGGCACGGCAGGGCTGGGGAATGCGGGGGGCTGAGGGACGGGGGGTGTCACTGAGGAACCGAGTGGAAACTGAGGCACGAGGAGGGAAAATGGGGTACAGGGGGGCACAGAGGTGAAGGGGGGCACTGATTTGCCCCCTCCCCGCAGGTTCAGGGCACGGAGGAGGCGCAGAAGGAGCGGCGGCGGCAGCAGACCCTGGAGGACAATTATCGCTTCGTGTGGGGGTCCCGCGAGGAGCCCCCCCCTCCCGCTGACTCTGAGGACCAAGACTTCTGACCCCCCAAATTCTGAGCCCTTAAATCCTGAACGTCCCCCCGGAATTGTGGTTTCATCTCTGCTGTGGGGCTGGGCACAGGGACACCCCAAGGACAGCGGTGTCCCCCAGCTTGGGGGGTCCCTGTGTCCCCCCAGGACCCTGCCCTGCTTGGGGGGTCGCTGTGCCCCCCTTGGGGGGACCCTGCCCTGCTCAGAGGGTCCCTGTGCCCCCTCGGGGGGACCCTGCCCTGCTTTGGGGGGGTCCCTGTGCCCCCTCGGGGGGACCCTGCCCTGCTCAGAGGGTCCCTGTGCCCCCTCGGGGGGACCCTGCCCTGCTCAGAGGGTCCCTGTGCCCCCCTCAGGACCCTGCCCTGCTGGGGGGGGGTCCCTGTGCCCCCCTCGGGGGGACCCTGCCCTGCTTGGGGGGGTCCCTGTGCCCCCCAGGACCCTGCCCTGCTTTGGGGGGGTCCCTGTGCCCCCCCTGCCCTGCTGGGGGGGTCCTTGTGCCCCCCTGCCCTGACATGGGGTGCATTTCTGCCACGGATGAACTGGGGGGTGGGGGGCAGGGGGGGAGGAGTGGCCGTGATTTTGGGGTGGGGGGGTTTTGGGGGGTGATGGGGGGTCCTGTTGCTCCCCCTGGCCCGGGGGGTTCTCTCTCTCATAATGAGATGTCGCGGGGCCGTTCGGCCTCTTTGTGCCCCCCACTTTTACCAATAAAACAAAGTCACCCCGGGCTGTGTCTGTGTCCCCCCCCACACCCCAAAATTGGGGGAAGGAGTGGGGGGGTGGGCGCGGGGAACGTGGAGCCCCCAGGACCACCGGGCGGACCGGGACCACCGGGACAGTGGAGCCCCCGGGACCACCTCCGTGTCCCCTGTGCCCCTCCGTGTCCCCTGTGCCATGTCCCCTGTGCCCTCCGTGTCCCCCGTGCCCCTCCGTGTCCCCTGTGCCATGTCCCCTGTGCCATCCATGTCCCCTGTGCCCTCCATGTCCCCTGTGCCATGTCCCCTGTGCCATCCATGTCCCCTGTGCCATCCATGTCCCCTGTGCCATGTCCCCTGTGCCCCTCAATGTCCCCCTCTGCCATGTCCCTGTGCCCTCCGTGTCCCCTGTGCCCCTCAGTGTCCCCCGTGCCATGTCCCCTGTGCCATCCATGTCCCCCGTGCCTCCCGTGTCCCCTGTGCCATGTCCCCTGTGCCCTCCGTGTCCCCTGTGCCATGTCCCCTGTGCCATCCATGTCCCCCTGTGCCCTCCGTGTCCCCTGTGCCCTCAGTGTCCCCTGTGCCCTCCGTGTCCCCTGTGCCATGTCCCCTGTGCCATCCATGTCCCCCTGTGCCCTCCATGTCCTCTGTGCCATCCATGTCCCCTGTGCCCCTCTGTGTCCCCTGTGCCATATCCCCCGTGCCCTCCATGTCCCCTGTGCCATGTCCCCTGTGCAATGTCCCCTGTGCCATGTCCCCTGTGCCATCCATGTCCCCTGTGCCCCTCAGTGTCCCCTGTGCCCTCAGTGTCCCCTGTGCCTCTCAGTGTCCTCTGTGCCCTCCATGTCCCCTGTGCCCCCCGTGTCCCCTGTGCCATGTCCCCTGCGCCCTCCATGTCCCCCTGTGCCCTCCGTGTCCCCTGTGCCCTCCATGTCCCCCTATGCCCCTCAGTGTCCCCTGTGCCCCTCAGTGTCCCCTGTGCCATGTCCCCTCTGCCCTCCGTGTCCCCTGTGCCCTCCGTGTCCCCCTGTGCCATGTCCCCTGTGCCCCTCTGTGCCCCCTGTGCCCTCCATGTCCCCTGTGCTGTGTCCCCTGTGCCATGTCCCCTGTGACATCCATGTCCCCTGTGCCATGTCCCCTGTGCCATCCATGTCCCCCTGTGCCCTCCGTGTCCCCTGTGCCCTCCATGTCCCCCTGTGCCCCTCAGTGTCCGCTGTGCCATGTCCCCTGTGCCATCCATGTCCCCTGTGCCATGTCCCCTGTACCCCTCCGTGTCCCCTGTGCCCCTCTGTGTCCCCTGTGCCATGTCCCCTGTGCCATCCATGTCCCCTGTGCCGTGTCCCCTGTGCCGTGTCCCCCGTGCCCCCCATGCCCCCCGTGCCCCCCGCGCCCCCCGTGCCCCCCGTGCCCCCCGTGCCCCCCGTGTCCCCTCGGGAAGGACGAGCCGTGTCACAGCACCAGTGTCCGACATTGTCACGTACTTACATCACACCCGCGAGATGAAAACGCTGTACACGGCCCCGACCCCCGGGCGACCCCCGGGGCTGGGACCCCCCCACCGACCCCTCCCACCCCCCCGGTCCCCCCCGGTCCTCCCGGTGTCCCCGGGACCCCCTCGGGCTCCCGGCTCGGCCCCTCGGGGCGTGTCGGGGGCGTCACAGCCGGGGCGCCCCTACATTCATGGGGGTCCCGGAGGGGGACACGGTGGCCCCCCCACACCGGGAGTGGGTCGGGGGTCCCACCGGCGGTGCCCCCCCGCGGGAAGAGGGGTTGGCTCTATCCTATGGCTGAACAAAGCAATAAATTAACGGGGATCCCAAAAACGGGGGGCGGGGGGGGAGGTCGGGGCATGGGGAGAGGGGTCGGGGCACGGAAATGGGGAGGGGGCGTACAAAAGGTTGTTGTAGAAAAGGTGGGGAGGGGAGTCGGGGTCTGCTCTGCTCCTGGTGCCAGGTCCGGGGGGGACATGGGGACATGGGGACACGGGGGTGGGGCAGAGGGGGTGGCAAGGTGAGGGGGATTTGGGGAGGGGGCGCGGGTGGGGGGGTGACAAGGGGAGGGGGACACGGCACGCGGGGGCGATGTGAGCAGGGGGGTGAGGGTGACATGGGCGGGGGTGACACGGGCAGAGTTACCCCGACCCGGGGAGGGGACAGCGAGGTGACAGTGGCAGTGACATCGCTGCGACCCCCGACATGGGGGTCCCTGGCACGGAGATGGGGACAGGACCAGCGGAGACCCCGACATGGGCAGGATAATAAATAGAGCATCAAAAATACAAACCGTGGGCACGGGGCGACCCCGGGGGTGGCACCGGGGGTGGCACCGGGGGTGGCACCGGGGGGCACCGGGGGCACCCTCAGGGCTATACCAGGGCAGAGCGGGGCTCGCAGGGCCCCACGCTGGCACAGCTGCTGCGGCGGCGGGGCCCGGGGGTCGGGGGGCCGCCGGGGGTCGGGGGGCTGCCGGGGGTCCCGGGGCTGCCGGGCCCCTCTCCGGGGCAGCCGTGCTGCAGGAGGATCTCGGCGCACTCGCGGCTACCGGAGCGGCGGGCGTAGAACAGCGCGGTGCGGCCGTGACCGTCCCGGGCCCGCACATCGGCCCCGTACTGCGGGCACAGCCACGCGTCACCCGTGGGGTCACCGTGGCCGTGGCACAGCCCCCGAGGTCGTGGTGGGTCCCCACCAGGGATGGGTCATGTCACCCGTGTCTGTCCTGAGTGTCTTGGCACGTCCCGGGATTGCCATGGATGGTGACACGTCCCCCCCCGTGGTTGTGGCGTTGTCCCCATGGCTGCGGCGTGTCCCCCATGGTCACATCGTGTCCCCACAGCCACACCGTGTCCCCCATGGCCACACCATGTCCCTCATGGTCACACTGTGACCACACCGTGTCCCCACAGCCACACCGTGTCCCCCATGGCCACACCGTGACCACATCGTGTCCCCCACGACCACACCATGTCCCCCATGTCCCCCATGGTCACACCGTGTCCCCCACGACCACACCGTGTCCCCCATGGCCATATCGTGTCCCCCATGGTCACATCGTGTCCCCCATGACCACACCATGTCCCCCATGGCCACACCGTGTCCCCCATGGTCACATCGTGTCCCCCATGGCCACACTGTGACCACACCGTGTCCCCCATGGCCACATCGTGTCCCCCGTGTCCCCCCTGGCCACACCGTGTCCCCCCATGCCACACTGTGTCCCCATGGTCACATCGTGTCCCCCATGTCCCCCATGACCACACCGTGTCCCCCATGGTCACATTGTGTCCCCCACGGCCACACTGTGTCCCCCATGTCCCCCATGGTCACACCATGTCCCCCATGGTCACACCATGTCCCCCAAAGCCACCCCACACTCCTCCTGGCCATGCCACGGTCCCCAAGGCTACCCCCACTGCCTCAAAACCACCCCATGGTCCCCATGACCACCCCACATCCCCCACACCCACCCGTGTCACCTCCCTCGTGGCCATCCCACAGCGCCCATGACCACCCCACATCCCACACGGTCACCCCACGGCCCCGCTGTGCCACCCCACATCCCACACGGTCACCCCACGGCCCCGCTGTGCCACCCCACATCCCGCACGGGCACCCCACGGCCCCGGTGTGCCACCCCACATCCCGCACGGGCACCCCACGGCCCCGGTGTGCCACCCCACACCCCTCACGGGCACCCCACGGCCCCGGTGTGCCACCCCACACCCCACACGGGCACCCCACGGCCCCGCCGTGCCACCCCACGGCCCCGCTGTGCCACCCCACATCCTGCACGGTCACCCCACGGCCCCGCTGTGCCACCCCACACCCCTCACGGGCACCCCACGGCCCCGGTGTGCCACCCCACGTCCCCGCTGTACCACCCCACATCCCACACGGGCACCCCACGGCCCCGGTGTGCCACCCCACATCCCACACGGGCACCCCACGGCCCCGGTGTGCCACCCCACGTACCGCACGACCACCCCACATCCCGCACGGGCACCCCACGGCCCCGGTGTGCCACCCCACATCCCACATGGGCACCCCACGGCCCCGCTGTGCCACCCCACAGCCCCGGTGTGCCACCCCACACCCCTCACGGGCACCCCACGGCCCCGGTGTGCCACCCCACATCCCTCACGGGCACCCCACGGCCCCGGTGTGCCACCCCACGGCCCCGGTGTGCCACCCCACAGCCCCGGTGTGCCACCCCACACCCCACACAGGCACCCCACGGCCCCCCTGTGCCACCCCACGGCCCCGCTGTGCCACCCCACATCCCACACGGGCACCCCACGGCCCCGCTGTGCCACCCCACATCCCACACGGGCACCCCACGGCCCCGCTGTGCCACCCCACACCCCTCAC